CTCAAGAACCAAACTGTAAACAGTCTGAATGCAGAGCTACAGTCACAGTCTAGTTTTCTTTGAGTTTGGAGTCTACCTAGGAGCGGACCTCTCCAGTCGCCTCTGTCTGTTTTGCTAAATTTGTGCTAAATTTAGACTCATGTCTATTTTGCAAGTCCTGTTGATGCTTTTTGTGGTTGGCTTTGGATGGTGGTGGCATGTGGCTGCGAGTCACTCATCGGAATGATGAAATCAACTCACCAGCCTGTAAACGCTCCTCCTACAGACTTGTTTGCCTCTAGCCAGGTCGAGGTTTTCAAAGGTAAACATTAGTAAACATCAAATAAAAGATGAAGAAAAGTGAGCATGAGCTGAACTAGCATCCTGCTACTCATTGTACAGGTGGTGGAAAATAAATTGCACAACCTCCTTGCCACAATATCAGGAACTGTAATATTCTTTGATTCGCTGAAATGTGGTGAAATCCTGGCCAGAGAAGGAGAGGAGGAGAGTGCTTAGCAGTGAATATGGATTAGTGTGACCGTGGGAACGTGATATGCTGTCCTGTTCCTGCTGTGGATCACTGCTATATGCTGTTCAGAGGCGGCTGCCTGTGTTCAGGAGAAGCGACCATAAGTCCGTCTTTGAGATGTGTGGACAGTTAAATTATTCCACAACCAGAATCTACGGATTACCTGAACCATCCAGGAACATGGACAATTATAGAGCAGCAGCCAACAATGTAAGATGACACAAAGGACTTAATTGCTGTGCAAACATTAAAGAAGCTGATAGGATCACATTTCACAGGAGTTGTGCCTTGTGTAATTCTCATGTGACAAATAAATGATTGATTGAATTATTCAGTGGAGTAAAGAAAGCAAAGTATTACACACTGTCATAAGATAAGGTTCTCACCTGCAGATACAAACATTGTATTACTATTAAAAATCAATCTTGTCACATCTGCAGTACTTCTGTCTGGTAGCTGCTTGCTAGCTGTGTCACTGATGTCACCAGGATTTTCAGGGCGCCTCTTTATGTCCCTTTAATGCCTGCTATAACTTCAGCCATAGTCTTGCAGTTTGCTGTTAGAAGACATTCTGCAGTTCTTCATGTTGATATAATTTCATCAGTTTACCTCAACGGTATTACAGTCAAATCTTTTCCATGCTTTGACTTTGTTGTGACTTAGTCATGACTTCCAGCCCTGCTCATAGCTGGGACTTTGAAGTTTCCCTTGTTGTGTCTTTTCAGTTCTGCAACTTTCAAACTCTGTTAAGTGCTTTAAGTAGAAGCTTGTTTGATATCAACATTTCCTCAGTCTGCTCAGTTGTTGCACAGAGTTTGTACTTTTCACTTTTTTTCACTGCTGCTTGTTTGGCGCAGTTAGAGTAGCTTGGCCCACCCACATCAGGTCAGCTGAGCTGCTGTGTTCGCTGTCTTGTTGCTCTGCAATTGACCCTGTAAGAAGAATGCATTTCAGGTTCTTACTTGAGGGCTGAAGCCATGCTAATATGCTAATGTGAACTTGTGGGCTGCAGTTGGTTACCTAAGTCATCTCGTCATTTTCAGAATGGAATAGGAATTTTCACACCGGGCAGCTGGCCTAGAAGCATTTGATTCTCAAATTAAGTCTCAAAAACCCAAGAACAGTGTTAACGTTGGAAACATAGTGTCCTCACTGAGTCATACTCTCAGTCCTCTGCCTCTAGGTTGGCTGTAAAAAATGAAATTGTATTATTTCCTGTTTCCTTTTAAAGGTATCAAAAGGGTCTTTAATGCCTGGTTCACGGTACATGACTTAAGCGCTGATTTTCAACTTGCCAACAATTTGTGAAGCTCACCGGCAAAATCCCCAGATCAGAGACGTTGGCTCTGCACTTACAAATCAGTTCTCGAGCGCTTTGTGTGAACTGTTCAAAGAGGCAAGCAGAGCTCCCCAGATATCTAGCAGGCCAAATATCTGGACCTGGGGACTGGCGGGAGGTGCAGTCAGAGAGAGTGGAAAACATAGGTTAAGGGCAGAGACAAGCAGTGTTGCACAAGGGGTGTGTGTGTGTGTGTGTGTGTGTGTGTGTTTGAGAGGGAGAGAGTGACAGAGAGGGAAGGTGGATTATTGCATGCAATTTTTCTGTAAGTTATGAGCCTAATAACTTACTCTGAGTGCTGCTTTGTCACTTTGCGGATTTGATATTTTCTAGTAAGCACTTCCCAGACCTAGGGTTGTTGTCTGGTCAGTCATGTAGTGTGAAAACCACACCGACTTCTAGACTCAGTTATAAGCAGCAAGTTACAGCGATCTGATGACGTTGAAAGTCGTGTAGTGTGAACTTATCTTAAGGTTTCTTTCACACCTTTAGGTCAGTTCACTTGGTCTGGATCAAGACAGTGAACTCCATTTTTGCTTTTTACTTATGATGCATTTATTGTTCACACTGACTATTACAAGAAGTAGAAAAGAGATGTAAATTAGAAGCTAAATGAAGCTCAAGGTTACTCATTCATCGGACTGTTCTGGTGACTGTCATCCTGCATCATGACTGCTTCATGGACCTATTGTGTCATTTTCATATTCTGGTGACTAGCATGAAGCCGTGCAGCACTTACCTTTTTTTCCCAGGTGTCGTGAAGAGCTCACTAAGGAGTGTTAATTATGTGCATTGTTTGTCAAGAGTGCAACTGAACCTCAATGTCATGAATAATGACAAACTGATAGAAACAGGTTTAGATGAAGAGAGGTGTCTTGTACTGGGTTAGGGTTATATACAGTCAGGTCCATAATTATTTGGACAATGATACAGTTGTCGTCATTTTGGCTCTGTACACCACCACAATGGGTTTTAAATGAAACAATGAATACCTGCTTAAAGTGCAGACTCTCAGCTTTCATTTAAGGCTTTTTTCAAAAATGTAGTATGAACCGTGTAGGAATGACAACCATTTCTTCACACAGTCCCCCGACTTTAAGGGCTCATAAGTATTTGGACAAACTAACATAATCATCAATTAAACAGTCAGTTTTAATACTTGGTTGCAAATCCTTTACAGTCAATGACTGCCTGAAGTGTTGGACACATAGGCATCATCAGATGCTGGGTTTCTTCCCTGGTGATGCTCTGCCAGCCCTTTACTGCAGCCGTCTGCACTTCCTGCTTGTGTTTTGGGTGTTTTGCCCTCAGTTTTGGCTTCAGCAAGAGAAACGCATGCTCAGTTGGATTCAGGTCAGATGATATGACTTGGCCATTGCAGAACATTCCACTTCTTTGCCTTAAAAATGTCTTTGGTTGCTTTTGCAGTATGCTTCAGGTCAATGTCCATCTGCACTGTGAAGCATCGTCCAATGAGTTTTGAAGCATTTGGTTGAATCTGAGCAGATAATGGTGCCCCAAACACTTCAGCTTTCATCCTGCTGCTCTTGTAAGCAAGACAAGACTTCACTAGAATAAATACAGAGGGTTTATCACAAGATGCAAACCATTGGTTAGCCTTAAAAATGGAAGGCCAGATTAGAGTTTGTCAAAAACCATCTAAAAAGCCTGTACAGTTGTGGAACAGCATACTATGGACAGATAAAACAAAGATCAACTACCAGAATGATGGGAAGACAAGAGAAGGAAGAAGGGAAGGAACTGCTCATGATCCAAAGCACACCACCTCATCAGTGAAGCATGGTGGAGGTACTGTTATGTCATGGCCATGTATGGCTGCCAGTGGAACTGGTTCTCTTGTATTTATTGATGATGTGACTGCTGACAAGAGCAGCAGGATGAAAGCTGAAGTGTTTGGGGCACCATTATCTGCTCAGATTCAACCAAATGCTTCAAAACTCATTGGACGATGCTTCACAGTGCAGATGGACATTGACCTGAAGCATACTGCAAAAGCAACCAAAGACATTTTTAAGGCAAAGAAGTGGAATGTTCTGCAATGGCCAAGTCATATCATCTGACCTGAATCCAACTGAGCATGCGTTTCTCTTGCTGAAGCCAAAACTGAGGGCAAAACACCCAAAACACAAGCAGGAAGTGCAGACGGCTGCAGTAAAGGGCTGGCAGAGCATCACCAGGGAAGAAACCCAGCATCTGATGATGCCTATGTGTCCAACACTTCAGGCAGTCATTGACTGCAAAGGATTTGCAACCAAGTATTAAAACTGACTGTTTAACTGATGATTATGTTAGTTTGTCCAAATACTTATGAGCCCTTAAAGTCGGGGGACTGTGTGAAGAAATGGTTGTCATTCCTACACGGTTCATACTACATTTTTGAAAAAAGCCTTAAATGAAAGCTGAGAGTCTGCACTTTAAGCAGGTATTCGTGGTTTCATTTAAAACCCATTGTGGTGGTGTACAGAGCCAAAATGACGACAACTGTATCATTGTCCAAATAATTATGGACCTAACTGTACATGCTCAGGAGATTGTTTTTTTCACAGTTCACAATCTGAAGATTAATGTATATGCTTGTTGCTTTTAAATGCTTAAATCACACATTTCCTCCCACAGACTCCCGTGGTTTGTTTTGCTTCCACACGACAAATAAACCACTTGCAAACAGACCATTGATCTATTTAGGCTGTTGCAAAAACTGAACCCGTAACCCGTCAGTTTATCCCATTTACTTCATTAAATAGCAGTGTTTAACTCCCAGATGAATCCTCCCACCCCTCACCCCCTTTACTCTTATTTATTTAGTTTAGCTTTCCTTTCTCCCATGGTGTTTGGTTACATTTTGTTGGTTTTTCCTTTTTGTTTTCTTTTCTTCTTTACTACTTCTTGAGTTTGGATGTTGTTACAGCAAAAGAAAAGATATGGTAATTTGTAAACATATGACATAAAAAAAACAAACTAACAAAACCTGTCACACCAAATGGGGCAAATGCATTGAGTTAGTTTGAAGCACAACACTTACTCTCCTCAGTTAGACACTCATGTCCTCTGAAGCTGCTCTGTTTGGTTTCAGCGTTGTGCCCTGTTTGACCGTCCACTCTCTCTCTGCCTCTGTCCCTAATGTTGCAGGTTCAACTACAGGTCGACTCATCATCTCACCACCAATGGCTTCTATGAGTTCCTCAACTGGTTTGACGAAAGAGCCTGGTACCCTCTGGGTAGGATAGTAGGTGGCACGGTGAGTGTTTCTTGTGCTGTGTGTGTTTGTGGGTATTTGACTCAGGAGGCTGGGGATGGATTGTGGAAGTGTGTGTACTTTCTGCCTCAGCACCATCTTTTCTTTGTCCTTATTTCTCAAGAGTCACATTACTGTGATGGATCTTCAATCACTCTGTTAAACTCACTCTCAGCTACACGTCTTCCAAACTCTTACACACACGCACGCTCAGTAAGCATAGCTGGATGGTTAAACAGCTCTCTGGGGAGCAGGGGGCACTCATACAACACATAAAGTGGATCTGTCTTCATCATAGCCAGAGAACAGAGACACTGGGGTAACTTTTAACATGTCATTACAGTACGACTCATCTCTGAATTTCCATCACCTCTATATTTACTCTGTGTGATCGCTTTGTATGGGTTGATGAAAGGAGCGCTAACTGTTGTGGGCTAATCTCTTCCCCAGAGTTCACTTATAGACATTCACATTAGCTGACAAAACAACAGCTTTAAGTTTGTTGTTTTGACTTTGAAGCAACCCTTTGCATCACGTCACTGGAATGAAACAGAGACAAAGACTAGACTCTATACTTAAAGGGACAGTTCAACCCAAAATCAAAAATACAAATTTTCTCCTTTACCTGTAGTGCTGTTTGTCAGTCTAGATTGTTTTGGTGTGAGTTGCAGAGTGTTGGAGATATCCGCTGTAGAGATGCAGACATCTCTATGGCTGATATCTCCAACACTCTGCAACTCACACCAAAACAATCTAGACTGATAAATAGCACTACAGGTAAGAAGAAAAATATGTTTGTTTGTTTTTTTTAAAAAAAAAATTGGGGTGAACTGCTCCTTTAAATATTGACCACAAAGATTGGCTGATGGAAATAATGGCTGAATCTGGTTTAACTAAATGAGTTTTTGTAATTAAGTAATTTTAAAGTACGAACAGCTAACAGTAGTTGAAGTTTTGGACTTTCTGTAGCTGCTTAATATAAAGAAAACTGCAGTGTTTGTTACATTAACAAGTTACCAGATTGTTCTATTAACATTTGCTGTCATAATTTTGTTGGTTGATGTAACAATGCAGGCTGGTAAAAGCCCATCATCTCTCCAGTGGCTCTGAGCTAGCAACAAGCTTGTAGTGTTATGGTTTTTACTGCTGTCGAGTTTACTCATTCAGACTGTTAATGATGGCATTTTGCAGTCACAGCAGTTCGAAGATGCATGAAGCAGCATTTTCAGTTGTTCAGTACTTTTGCTGGCTTGTCAATATTACCGCTCTCCTCATCGCATCAAATACATATTACATGGGGGAGGGATGAAAACAAGATCAATTTGAGCTATTCAAACTTTATTAATAACACTTGACATGTAAAATCTACAGAAAATTAGATTTGGGTTGCTTTTCTGAAGAAAAAATTCTGCCCTGATCTTCCTCCTCTGTTCCCCTCTTCTCTCAGGTGTACCCAGGCCTGATGGTCACAGCGGGCCTCATCCACTATGTGCTCAACCTGCTGCACATCACCGTCCACATCAGGGACGTGTGTGTGTTCCTCGCGCCGGTGTTCAGCGGCCTGACCTCCATCTCCACCTTTCTGCTGACGAGGGAGCTGTGGAACCAGGGGGCGGGGCTGCTGGCAGCCTGTTTCATCGCCATTGTCCCCGGCTACATCTCCCGCTCCGTGGCTGGCTCCTTCGACAATGAAGGCATTGCCATCTTTGCCCTGCAGTTCACCTACTACCTCTGGGTATGGCTATACATACTTTATTAGCCTTTACATAGTATAGTCCTGACCCTCCATTATGCAGCTATTTATAAGAGTTTTCACTGCTGCTTCAGATGGCTGCTCTTCGTTACATGTTGGGGAATAAAGTGAGTCTGACTGCAATGCTAAACCTTTTTTTTATCTTAAAGTGACTTAAAGCTGCAATCATTAATATTTTTTATTACCAGTGACTCAAATGACTACTGTTTGTGCAATGTGGAAGTAGTACTAAGTTAATAGTAAGTGGCATGTACCTCCAAAGTCATTTTTATTCAACACAGAAACTGCAGCAAAGGGAGCAATTAATTTTGTTTTTCACACTGATTTAAGAGTAATGCCAACCTGTATAGCTGTGCCGATCTAGTTGCTGTTTTTTTTTTGGCAATTTTTCAGTTACCATTATTCCAACTCGAGCGCAAGAAGATTCAAGCTCTGCGATATTAGGATTGGCACAGTTTTTCCAAATGGGGAAACCGCTTTTACTAAACTTAAGCTGAACAAATCTGAGGTGATGTAGAGACTCAGAGATCTAGATACATGCTAGCAGTTTCCTTCAGCTCTATGGCAAATTTTAGCTGATGTAAGCTTTAGTTGTGGTTTTTTGGTCTTGTTGATAAATTAGTTAATCTTGTTTGCAGCCACTGCAGACAGCTGGTTTCTGCGACAGAGTTCTGATAAATCCACTGTATCGCCCTGCACTAAAAGGCAGACCAATAAAGTTAGCAACTCGCTGATGAATATAGTGCGTTAACGAGCAGCTAAACATCCAAATATCTTTTGGTGGAGACCAAACCAGAGCTAAAAGGAGAGTAAATATTTGACCACATGAAAGATGCTGCTGCTTTATATCTGCTAGATGTGTAAATTGGTGATTGTTTGCGACCACGTTTGCTGTAACAGCTTTTAAAAGTTAATATATTTTTGACGTTGTGTTTTAAGCTTGTGTCACTGCCCCTCTGTTGCTAAAAATCAATTAACTCAGATGTAGTATTTAGAGCATGAAGTTAAACCTCTTTATGTGATCTTGTAAAGCTGAGTGTTCATCTAAGATGGTTCCTAATGTTAGGAACAGATCATTTAACTTACTAATACATTTTTATTTTGACCAGAATAGTTTCACTTACTAGAATAAACATTCTTTCAGGCCCAGTTGCCACTGGACAAAATGCCACAAATAACCCGCTAATATCTGGCTTTTGTATTTAATGGGAAGGGTTACAATCAGCATTCACTCCTGGGACAAATAACTCTGCGGTGGTCCAAGTAGTGGTCACAAGTTTTAGCCCCGTTGCTAGCGCAATGCAGTGACAGACTGCCTCAAAATACCGTCTGTCTCTGTCTCCAAAATTTAGTTGCCACTGACTTTGAGTGAGAGACTGAGTAAGTAAGAGAGATAAAAGAAAAGAACCTTTTCACTGGTCTCCATGCTGCTTTCTTTTACTAACCTTTTTTCTGGCCTGTTTGTGTCATTGAACGTGACACACCAAAAATAAAAAAACAGGAATTCATACTTGGCTACCTCTGGTCTACTTGCAGTCGGAAAGCTGTCTGTCACCTATTTTTTTTAACAGGTCTTCCTGCATTTAAAATAACCTGCATACACATACTAATTTTTGTGGGAAAAGGGTGTTGGTCACCAAAGACAAGTTCCAGTGTCTCATTCATGATTACACATTAATGTCTGGAGAATGTTGTATATGTTGTTCCTGATCATAGGCATAATATGATTTTTTTTTTTTTTTTTTTTTTTTTTGTGTAAATAAGAACTCTTTCCTTTAACCACAGATGTGGCTTTCTATTTCTGCTTCTACAGATTTATTCTTCCTACTGATCCTCAGTGGTTTGTTCATGTGGCTATATGAGCTAATGTTATTCTTAGTGTACATGATCAACTACAACATTTCATGCATACCACTGAGACTTAAAGAAGGAATCCACTATCCCAGTTATGCAGCCTTGAAGATGCTGTTAATTGGTGGTATGGATGGATGGGGGATAGCATAACCTGGTTTACATAAACATTAAGCCTTGTTTCTATACTCTGGATTTTAGACAGATTAATACATTACAACACGAATAAATCATACAGAAAACTAGAATAACTTAACAGTCTCCAGTGATTGCATCTCCTACTCCCAGTATCTCTCTCTAACAGTCTCTACCTCCCTTTTGTTCACTTTACCTTAACGTTCCGTCCATCTCTTGCTTCTTTACATTCACCACATCTCATTGGCTCAGCTCCAGTGTCATCCAGCTGAATGCAGTGACTCCAACCCGTGCCTTCGTTAAGTCGGGGCTCGTTAGCCTCGTTAAGCCCTTGTTAACTTCTCTTGTGCACCGTGCTGGGGAAGGTAAAAATGTGTAGGACACGGTGCTCTGCTTTGTGCAGGTCATTAAAGAGCCAAACATGATGAATAATTCAGACAGTCGTGTTGGGTAAGCAGCAGCAGAGCAAATCCTCAAGGAAGAAAAGTGATAAAGCAGCTCAGCTTAATGAAAGCAGCTGATGTAGATTTTACTCTGTGCGTGTGTGTGTTAGTTAATGCTCTCTTATGCAAACTACAGGTGAAGTCGGTGAAGACGGGATCTGTGTTCTGGGCCATTGGATGCTGCCTCTCCTATTTCTACATGGTGAGAACATACACAGAAACACTTGTTTTACATTGTACATTTCTGTGCTATTATGACACTAAAGCTTAACCCCTAATGCTAACACAGATACTAAACACAGGTCTGAGTCATAAATGATAGGGAGAGCCATGTGTAGATCACACACTGACTCAGAATCACAGCAGCGCCCAAAAATGACCGTCGTGCCACTGACAGATGGCTAACATCGAACATTTTGTGGATGTCCATCTAACTTTGTTTGCCTCACATCAACACAAGGCATTTTCATCAGACAAAACCAGAGCTTTTCCCTTCCTCACCGATCACTCAGCCAGGCTTTGATGAATCTGTGATGAATCATTTGAACTCCTCACTCTGTAAGCTCTGATACCTTTTCTCTGGCAGCTGCTCACTGACAGGGAGTGACACTTGGAGACAAAAAGCACAAAGCACAAGCTTAGAAAGAGGTGCACGTGTGTTGTTCTGAACATGCCTATACCTGTGTGGGGCTGCTGTTATGAACGTGTGCATGTGTGTGTGCGCGTGCCTTAACGCTGTAGCTCATAATGATTTCACAGCTCTCCGGTGGGCTGTGCAGCTTTGCACCCTGCTTCTGATTGCTACCTGTCTCATTATGGAAGTGTGTGTATGTTGTGAATAACAGAGGAAATACAGCCATCCTTCAGTTCCCAGCCTGCAGGGACTCGTGGGCTCACAATACTGATTACCTACTTCAGGTGAAAGCACTGCATGGATTCAACAGAGATCAAAATCCCATTATGACAAAAAGCAGTAAACTAACTGTATGTGACTTTGTATGAAAAACAAGAACCAAAAACTGTCAAATTAACGCAGGCAACCATGCAAAAGAAAAACCAAGGCACTCCTTGGTGTGAAATAATCTCATATTTATTCTTCCAGTGTAGGTAACCGAACTCCGTCTTCATTTAGCCTGAAAAACACGAATCAGACTAAATCATATACCAATCATAAATGTATGTTACTTTTTATTTGTATGTTCATACATCAGTCTGCAGGTGACCACTGTATGTGTGAATGCATATTCCACATTGTTACACCCCTGCATTCATGTCTGCTGTTTGTAAAGTTCTAAATAAGTAAGAAAATACTCTTATTTTGTTTATTTCACAGGTGTCAGCTTGGGGCGGTTACGTGTTCATCATCAACCTTATTCCTCTTCATGTATTTGTACTGCTCCTCATGCAACGCTTCAGTAGGAGAGTCTACATAGGTGAGATGCAGCACACACACACACACACACACACACACTATCGCGTGCGGAAAAGGGCATGGAGATGTGTGTATATATGTGCATCTGTGTGTGATTAGTGCAACGCCTGTGTACGTGGGACTCCTGTAACACAGGTGTGCAGGTGTACGTACATCCACGTGCACATCCTGTGATTGCATGGGCAGGCCGACTGCTGGAAATCTCGGCCGACATAACTGTCTTAAAGAGGCTGTGGTGTGCTCATGTTTGAGGCTAGCGTTAAGGTAGTATCATGTGAAACTAGACAACTTAAAGCAGGGATACTGACTTTACCCGGGCTGCTTTTGCAAAATGGCAGGAGGCCAGGGGCCAGTTGATAAACAAACATTAATAATTAATATATGAATAATTAGCCTGGACCTCTGTCAGGGGTTCTGGGTGACCCCCCTCTGGAACTTCTTTTTGGTATAAAAGCTCTATTTAATTGTTTTTTCAATGTACCCTGACATCTTATTTACATTCAAAGTACAAAAAAAATCCCAGCGTGAATCAGTTTATTTTCAATGTTCATTAGACAACTGTGTGTCAGCTGTAAGTTGAGAATCACTGACCTAAGGCATCCATTGGTATCAACTATGTCATGCTAGCTTGTCGGGGAGGGGGCTAAATAACGCTCCAAAGTTAGGCTGCGCCAGAGCACAGTGCCATTATGCGTGGCTGTTCACTGTATTTACCTTCACTAAATGCCCTGAAAGTGTTACCAGGTTGCTACAGTATAACCATACGGAGCTCTACACACATCAAACTGCTCAGTTGTAACTTTATGTTCAGCTTTTTTTATGAAGGAGGCATCTGGATACCAGAGCTCATCATAGCCTCTTTTCAACTTTCTTTTTAACAAAAGTAGTTCTCATGTTTTATCCTTGAAACCCATTGCAGTGCAAATGCTGTAGTTTCACATCAATTACTAAACTATGTGACCATGTATGAGGTAAGGAACATTTGAGTTTTGTTAAAATACCACCAGTTTGATATCATAAAAGGTCTCACCAAATCAGTTTCTCTATTTTTGATTTCAGTCATTGTGGTAGTAACTACCTGATGGAAAATCTGTCTCCATCTGTCTTTGGGTACAGATTTGTGATGTGTGCCCATTTTGTGACGCTCTGAACCATCTAGACCTTTCCTGAGGAAATGCGTTCTGTTTGCTGTGCTGTTGTTATCATGTTTAAGTGCGATAAGCGCAGATGGCTGGCTGACAGAGTATTTAATAATGTGCACACCTGCTGATCTTGGCTATATTGACTTTAACCCAACCTTTTGCACTTTTTTCTGCTGTGGCACATATACATGAATCCTAAAAAGAGACTCAAAATATGTCTTAGGGGAACACAAAAGTATTAGTTGTTTTTATTTCACCCATCTATGTTTTTTCTCTCCCATGTCCCCCTTTGGGCTCCATAGAAAACAGTTAAAACAACAATAATGAATCATGCTTGGCTAGTAATGTGCTCCATATTTAGATAATTTAGCTGGTTCTTTCCTGCCTCTAAAACCTTGGTTAGGAGTTACATGTGCATGTGCACATGCACGCCCCCATACACACTCCCCTTACCAACACAGACACACAAATACTTTACATTGACATTGATTCAAGGGCATAAACCAGGGGGGTGGGGTGTGTACAATTTAGCTCATTTGACATTCAGTGTAGCACATCCAGGATAAACAGATAACAAAAGGGGCAAAGTAACTGTACAGTCAGCAGCCACACACCTACACACACACACACACAAATCCTGTATTTCCTCTGCTTTCAAAGACTAAAAGCCATGCACATAGATGTGGGGGTAGTAAACAGAGTAGCTTATTCATTTTTGTCATATCTGCACTGTATAAAGACTTACTGATAACTTAAAGCATTCACTAGCAACCGATGTTGTGTCTGTAATGAGACACATACCAGGTTTACACAAATCCCCCAGAAGAGAAGAGATATGTGATAAAAGTAAGAGAGATGGAAAGTGGAAATGTAGGCAGGAAAAAAGGGAAGGAAAAAAAAAGATTAAAGCTGTCTTCCCTTCAAAGAGCTCGCCTCGTCGCACACTCTGAACTCGCCTCACTGATCATGAATTAAGTCTTGACCCAAGGCTCACAGCTCCATACTGATGCCGCAACACTGTACCATTGTTTCAGATCCAGATCAATAACCCATACATACTGTACCAGATCATAATTCTGTGGAAATAATGACATATCAAGATGTGACACGTACAAAGTCAGGCAAGGTTAACCTGACAAGGAAGCTGTGAAATGTCTGTCTCTCTCTGAAGACCAGCACAATACATTTTGCCTGCAGCAACAGAGTAAATGAGGTGGTTCAAAGTTGTTTCCAGTAGCCTACCAATGATGCATACCTTCATCTGTGATTTGAAGTCCAGTCTGTGACCTGCTGTCACACACCAGCCCTCTCTTGCTTCATCGTCCATGTCTAACAAAGCACATATACCATAATGAAATCCAACTGGAATTTCATTACATGAGCAGCATCGTCTCCTCTGCACCAGAATAAAAAACAGAATAGAAAACCCTCTGGATGGATGCCTCAAATCTCAAACGGGCATCAGCTAGGCTGCTTGTTCCTAGTACCAGATGAGGCCATCACATTGCCCAGCATCTAGACTGCAGGTGCCATGTGCCACCTGCTGGGACACTTTAACAGGGCGACACCAGGCTCATCCACAGAAGTGAGCTGCCTGGCTGCCAGTAGCACAACTAAATGATTAGATTAGACTTGATGAGAGGTAGGACATCGCATATCATTACATTTAGTTTGCAGTTCACCCGCAAATCAAAAATATGTATTTTTTTCTCTTACCTGTAATACCATTTGTCAGTCTAGATTGTTTTTGTGTGAGTTGCTGAGTGTTGGAAATATTGGCCATAAAGATGTCTGCCTTCTCTCCAATATAATTGAACTAGATGGCACTTAGCTTGTGGTGTTGAAACCACCAAAAAAAAAAATATTTACAAAACTCAACAGCAATGTCTCTTTCCAGAAATCATGACCCAGTTACTCAGGATAATCCATGTTTCAAGTTTATTTTTCAACTCTTTTTTTATTTATACAGCACTTTAAAAAACAAAAGAGGCTTTGCACCAAAGTGCTTAACAAAGATAGACAAGCACAGAGACATAAAAGTGCATAGATGAGTTAAACAAGATTAAAATAAGTTTAAACATATTTTCAACCCAGGGAATCAGATAAAAAATAGAACTAACAGTACAAACACAAGTAAAAGCCAAAGAATAAAAATGGGTCCCAAGGCTCATCCTAAAAGCTCACCTGGCTAATGGCCTCTAGCAGGCCACTATAGGAAAAAGTCCTGTTCCCAGCCTTTCTTTTCCACCACTGGGGCACAGCGAACATGCAACAGTGGGTGGATCTGAGCGGTCTGGCGATGCTGTAAGGGCTGAGAAGCTCTGAGATCTATGCAGGGGCGAGCCCATGGAGAGATTTATAGATAGCTAGAGGGATTTTGAAGTGTATCTTGAAATGAATAGGGAAGCCAGTGTAAGGATACAAGGATAGGGGCGATGTGGTTCTGTTTCTTGGACCTTGTCAATAACCACAGCAGCGATTTAAATTAGTTGCAAATGTGAGATGGTAGCCTGAGAAATGCTGAGGTAGAGGAAGTTACAGCAGTCCAGCCTGGATGATTTAAGTGCTTTATTGACCCTTTCTAGATCAGAGAGTGACAGGAAATGCCTAATGTTGGAGTTGGCTCTGAGTTTGAAGAAGCTGGACCCAACAGTGTATTTACTTGCTTGTTAAAACTTAGATTCCCATCAAAGATAACACCCAGGTGATTGAGGTTCTAGGCGATAATACTTGTATCATGCGGGGTCCAAAGAGTGGGATGTGTGCCTTGTCTTCATTTAACTGCAAGAAATGATGTGCTAACCAGTCTTTAATGCCTTGGAGACATTTTTGTAATTAAGTGACCCGATTTTGAATTGAGTGATAGATACATCTGAGTATCATCTGCGTAGGATTGAAAAGAGATGTTGGGAGTTTGGGTGATTTTTCCCAATGGGAGCATGGAAGGACAAAAAGAAGTGGACCTAAAACTGAACCCTGTGGAATTCACAATAATCCACAGACCTTGTTGTGAGCAGGTTCATGTAGGAACTGTTTTCTTTCTACGCGCCAGCTGTATCACCATGCAAAAGAAAGCATGCATCTACTCATGGACAAAAGGCTCATGCTCGTGGCAGTGCGAGATGTTAATATTATTGACATCTTCCTCTGCGGAGCTGTAACATAAGCTAGCCCAGTGGTGCTAGGTGAGTTAGCAGTAGGTGCACGCTTCCCTCTGGGCTGATACAATTGGTTGGTATAGTTCGGCAGAAAGACAGTAGTTCCTGCCACCTGCAACATTTACATGCATTCAAACATTGATGGCACAGCCATCAGGAGAAATTTGGGGTCAGTATCTTGCCCAAGGATACTTCGACATTCAGAGCTGAGGAGCCGAAGATCAAGGTGACGATTTTGTGATTAGTGGACAACCTGCTCTACCTCGTGAACCACAGCTGCCCGTAGCTATAGGTTACTTTATAGATAAAGATTTACCTATAAAACCAATGAAGAGTTTATAAATTGTGATGTGTTGTTATAGATTATAACACCCAAAAAAAGTTTGAATTTGCTCCACATTGACCAACAGTAAAATAGAATAAGTATATAATAGTATAACAAATACTGTCAGACATTTTTCTGCACAGAATATCTTTACTTTTGAATTTATGTGCATTTTACTCATAATACTAACATGCTTTCTGTTTCAGTGCAAGACTGGTGTGTATCTAAGTACTTCATCCACTACTGCTTATATCAGTGTAAATGTGCATTTAATCAAAGTTATTCTGTAATTCAAAAATCTACAACAGCCCTGTATTAAATCTCATCTACAGTTTTTGTTGACATCACATTATGATAAACATCTTTCACCATGGTGCAGAACACCACCAGTAGTGATTACAGACTTCAATCAAATTCTCCCATAACACAATGTCAACAAAAGCTGAATATTGCAAGTTTCGCACAGGTAAGATTTATTACAGGTCTAATTCTATTTGATCACATAAGGTTGCACAGGCGAATGAAAAATGACAACTCAGTGCATTAGGGCCATTGAGGAAAGGTGTTTCCTTGCATTAATTTACTAGATCAATTTTTTACGGAGCAGTTTGTGACACCGGCTGGGTCAACAGCAATCTTTTTCCATTTTCCTCTCTCTGGCATTCCTAATAATGTTGTCATCATCAGACGACAGCCACGGAGGGAGAACGTGATTGAGTCAGAACAACCTTGGAACTGTTGCTTTTAAATGTAAATAACAGTGAGGTCTGCTGGGCTTCATGAATCATCTCTGAAGGACGGCTGATGCTGACTGGAAAGCAGAATATCTGAACTAAATATTTCCTCCTTTGCTCCCTCCAGTCTTGTCAAGGCAAGGAGATAATCAAGATACAAAATCACTTGAAAGTATGTGTTGCTCCAACAGAACAGCAGGCTGTTTTCACACCGAGACATACATCTTTTGGTGTTACACCAATAGTAATCATGTCTACTTGTGAAGACAGCAGTGGAGAGAGTTGAGGTTTGATTCTGTGCCTAGACACAAATTGGCGTAGACTTTTTTCCCCCACACGATTCCCTTTGGTGTGATCTGGTGAGGCTTCAGCCTTTCAAATTTATTTTAAGTGCAGCCACAGATGAGCAGCAGAATTGGAGATTGGAGTTCTGGCTCTTAGTGCAGAGTGACGACCATCCATTTAATGTTCTGCTTTAACACATCAGTTGAAGATAAGATTGTCCAACAGTGAACTGTGAATTTTGAGGAAATTTCAGCTGCTGCATCAAACTGCTTCAACTTATTCTGGGTTGTTAAGATACCTAAAAGAGGCATGACGTGGTCAGAGTCGAGTCATCTAGCTTATTGAAATATTTCTAGTCTGATGTACCATTCTTAATGTCTACAATTCTCAGCTTGTGTCTATAGTATGTAATAAGACTGCAGCTTGTTTAAGCGAGCTAACCTTTTGATGTCATTGGCTGTGCTCTGGCAGTGTTCGACCAGCAGAGCTTGTTTCTGAGGTTTTTGTTTTTGAAGCTTTCTTTGGGTGTTTCTGACCCTTGAGGGCTTGTTTGAAACACTTTTCAGGTTTAGTTGGAGTGTTCACAGTGAGCCTGTTGTCTGGTTGTGCCGCTGATTCCCAAGTGTGTCAATTGTTTTAACTCTGGAGCTTAATCGCTCTTAGACTGTCAGTCATGATTTAGGCTCAAAAGGCGTTTTGTTCTTGTGTACTGAGTCAAGGACTTTTAGAGGGGGGATCACTAACACTACGCTTGTATGCGCCGTTGTTCTTTTCCTTATTAAATCTTTCCTAGAATTTATTAATATAGTACCAATATTTACACATTTCTGAAATCACATATAATTAAACAGTGAACAGTTACTGACAATTTATCATGATACAGATAATAGGTCACATTGTCTTACCCTAACTTTATTTGTTACACATATTTTATGCACGGTGTGTATGAAGTATTTCTCCTATCTGTGTGAGCACAATTTTGTGTTTTATACCTGCAGAGAGACATTTTTACTTAGTGAGATAACTCAAAAGACAAGGCAGCAATAGTGTATATTTCATTACTGTTATCAAGAAAAGACCAAAACCAACAACTCTCAACAGACTCTCAGCCCCACAGCCATTGGTTCCTACTGAGAATGTAAATCTTTAAAAATGGGTCAGAATATGTAATTTCATTTTCAGAAAAGTATATAATGTTCCAGAACAGGTTGGCACTGTTGTTTTTTGTAGTTTGAGTTCACAGAGGTAGGCAGTGCACTGGTTAGGGACTATTTCTAGGCGCAGATTTGATTTGGTGCTGTAGTGAATATTTTCAGCAGCAGGACGATGGATGTGGGATTAAGTCAAAATAAACACTTCCCACGTTCAGCACAATGAGACATGTCACCTAGTGCAACAGTGTGACTCACTGATGTAATTCAATAGTTTTTGAACAACAATGGAGCTCTACGGCTCAGAGGAATAAAATATATCAGGCTTTGGATACACACACACTTGTTAGTAGGACGGGTTTATTGTTACCTGGGATTAGTTTACAGTAAGAAAAATCTAGAGTGGGGGACATCAACTTCATTTGTCTAAGGGCCGGAATTTTTCCAAGCAGACTATTTAATTAGCCTATCATTGCTTAATAACATGATTATAATTGTTCAATAATAAATCTGTCCACTCCACCGAGTTGACTAGAACTGAGTGCCATAGCTCGTATGTGTGTGTTTGGGAGAGTGACAGAGACAGACAGATGGAAAGAGATGGTGGAAGGTGGACTATTGCAGGAATGCAGGTTTCTGTAAGTTAGGCTATCAATAACTTACTCAAACAATGTCTCTTGATGCTTTTTGATGCATAACTTTTGACGCATTTTTGGGGGGAGTTTTTCTTCATCCGCTATGAGGGTCCAGGGACAGAGGGATGTCATATGCTGTAAAGCCCTCTCAGACTAATTGTGATATGTAATTTTGGATGTAATAGATCAAATTGATATCAAAATGGAGTTGAAATTACTATTTGTACAGCCCAGGAGGCATGCTTTGTGATGGGGCTACAGATGTAAGTAAATAAGTAAGTAGTGTCTTGTCTTAACTGCTTGTTTCTCCCTCCAGCCTATAGCACCTTCTACATCATCGGCCTGGTCTTGTCCATGCAAATCCCCTTTGTGGGCTTTCAGCCAATCAGGACCAGTGAACACATGGCCGCAGCAGGTCAGTAACCAATAACCTGTGATCTGGGTGGAAAGTGCCAATAATATGCATTTACTTCAGGCCTATGGAATATGTTTTAACTTTATTTTTATACATAAAGCAACATTTAGCTTTACATTAGCTTCAGCTGAACCTTAGAATGGATTATCACACAGGACAGTGTATTTTTCCCTTCATCTGTTACATAGATATTGATGAATGAACATAAGTGCATGTCAGTATTGTTTTGAGATAGACTTGAAAAATGTGACCCTTTCCTTTTAAAGTACCTTTTTCCCCAGTCATGATCATATATCTGCTACAAAATTAGATTCAGAAATGCAATCTGTGTATGAGCCCTCAAACTGGAGTGTGTCATGATGATGAGGTAATCTTCAACCATTCACCTGAGACAGTTTCCATAATACCAGCGCCCACAGCAGCTTGGCAGTGCCAGTGTTATCTTGACGGGCAATGACAGTACAGTGGAAATAAAGTGCACACTCCGATATTACCTGCTAAGATGCCTTAAATTATTCAGATATGCGCAGTACTGAAACACTCCAGTAAAGAGTAGGTAAAGTGGATGTGATGCCTTTAAGTGTTGTTAAATGCTCATTTCTTTATGAAAATGATTGGTTCATATTTAAATGACATAAAAAGCATGTTGAAAAGGGGGGTTTAAATATGCTTTAATGACAGAGTTACAGTAGAAACAAAGTTTAACAGTTTATTTACTGCTTGAGCAATGAAAATATGTCACATTTTTAATTCAGTTTTGTTTGTGCTCTATCTCTGTAGGTGTGTTTGTGCTGCTTCAGGTCTACGCCTTCCTGCAGTACCTGAAGGACAGACTGACCCGGCAGGAGTTCCAGACTCTGTTCTTCCTGGGAGTCTCTCTGGCTGCTGGAGTGGTTTTCCTCTCTGTCATCTATCTGACTTACACAGGTTTGTTCACATTGGCTTTCAGAGGGAAGGTCGTCTGAATCAGTCTCACATCCACTTTCTGCACTAGGAAAAACAGCTTATGGAAAATGAAAAATGAAGCTACCACATTTGTGTTCATTGTTCTGTGGCGAGATTACTCAGTCACATGCCTAGTGGTTTTAATACAAAGCTGGACATGCATACCACATCATTACTGTGCAGACAGGCTACAGTTAAGCTGACTAGTCCCTTGGGTTTTAGAGAATTTGGAGAATTTGCCATGCAAATGTAACAGCTAATATGAATTTGCATTTCAGTTTGGTGTCAAAGGAGAAAAACAAAGCTGTGTACACAACATCTTTTACTCTGGAAAAGCTTCACAATTTTCACTGTGCTTTTTGTCAGATTGATTGATTCTACATTGAGTGGCTGGGTCCCATTTGAATATAAACAGCTCGGGGTGCCCAGTTATGCATCGTTTTACATATTTCCCAGGAGTAAGGTCCTAAAAGAATTTGGAGCAGTTATTTAATTTACACGGTACCTTCAGTCCTCCCCTCGGTTGACTGCTCTGACCTGGTGAATGGGCTGGGGAGGCTCCTTCTACCACCTACCACCACACCAAATCTTTAAAGTAGGGATAGACCGATATGGATTTTTTAGGGACGATGCCGATACTGCTTTTTTTCCATCACCCTTAGCCGATGACCGATTATGGACTGCCGATTTTATTGAGCCGATATTTGGGGCCGATACTGCTTTTGCTCCCTCAATTTACATCAAAAAAAAGACACAATGATAACAAATATTACAGGTCTCAAGTTTAAAATAAGAAACATTTATTGAACAGTAAAAAATACTAAAACAAGATGGAAAGTTGAGTTAGAACAGGTAGAATATTATTATTATTATTGTTATACATTCAAATAAAAAGAGTTCAGTGCTCTTAAATCTTCCAGTAATGTCTTTATAAAATAAACAAATATTTAAGCTGAAGCATAAATAAAACAACAACTACTGTACACAGTAGGATTCAACAGCTTTGTTCAACTTAACCACATACTTTCAAATGAAAAAAAGTGCCAGGGAAAAATAAATCCGTGAACCCACGTGCGTATCGGCTGATGCCGATACAAGTAAAAAACTCAAATATCGGCCCGATATATCAGCCGGCCGATGTATCAGCCGGCCGATGTATCGGTCTATCCTTACTTTAAAGTTTCTTTAAAGAGCAACTCAGTTGTTTATTTTTTTTTTTTTTTTTTCCTTTAAGGTTTTTTATATCATCCTGTAGCTGCAAAGCAGCGGTAGACCAGCAACTCCCATGCGCTGTGAGGTCAGATTACTGTTTCTGTCCATAGAGCCTGGTGCCTTTGAAGATGGTGATGTAACAGCTTCAGTACCCCATTCGAAAGGGCTGTGTGACGGCAAGATAAAGCCGTAAAATAATTTAAATATAGAGTACTCTTGAACCAATATTGATTTTGTTTTAAGGTGATGCCATCATTAGTTGACTAAAATACATTTTGCTGCTCCCCCCTGGTGGCTACCAGACTCCTCTGACAGAATAAGTAACTTTACCATGAGAACATGACGGGTTGCTAGTCTACTGCTGCCTCTCCTCTGATCGTTTAGTTTGTATTATTATGTGACCTTCAAGACCAAACTAATGTGGCATCCACAGCAGTATACTGTTAGCCTCTGTGTACCGTTACTCCAGCAGTATTACATTATATTTAATCTCAGTGTGTCTTCACCTAGTCAAAAAAGGTTGAATTAGAATAATAACAGCATCTTCCACCCCCAAGCTCAAATCTTCTAAGCTAACACTTTCCTCACTCTTTGTGCTCACACTGTCAGAAACAGAGTGTGTTGGGGGGTGAGGGAGGGGAAGGCATCACCACGGTGACCTGCATCACTGCTTTTTTGCTTTTTGCTAATGGCTGAGTGGGAGCTTCCATTTGAAAAACACTCAGTTGGACCCACCCTCTAAATAATTATCAGTTACTTTTCCAAATAACTATCAGTTACTTAACGAAGTTCACATGAACCGCTCCTCTCATGGGCTTAAAGTAGAACCACCAAACAGCACTTATTTAGAAAGAAAATGTGTCACTTTTAAAGCTGATTCGTCTGTTACTCCATTTATTTTCTTCTTCCAAAACAGTGGTGAGGAACACCAGGAGCAAATGCCAAGAGTTCATTTTTCATTAAAACTAAATTATGACTGGTTTGTTAACTGCATGCCAAATTAATCAGAGCACACATGGCCAAACTGCCTCCTAATTTACCATATGATGGCTTGTTGACAAGCAATGTAGCATTTAAAAGCCTCTTTAACAAAAAAAAAAAAAAACAGAGTCCAGTGCAGTGCTCACTTCATGTATACATCGCTTCCAGCAAGCTTTACAGAGAGCAATGAGGGAATAACGGCATTACTAGGTTGTTTTAATTGAACATTCTCTGGTCTAGCTCAGCAAAAAACACAAAATTACTGGATCCATCAGCATATTAGCATGACGTTCACCACCAAGTGGTAAAAATATTTTTTTGTCCTGGCGGTGGGTCCCGTTAGCCCATCAGGCCTGTATGGTGAAAGAGGAAACACTGGACTTTTTACACAGTTACCTGAAGCTATAGTATTGTATATTGATAATATTATAATAGTGATGAGTGTGGTCGCAGTAAATTAAAACCCTTATCTGAGGCCCAACAGCCATTAAAGGCTGCATGTAAAGCAATAGCTGGTTATAGTTGGAGTCAGCCATCCACTGATATCACACACCTATAGTCTGTGTGTGTGTGTTAGGACCACCTGCTGACTATCTAACTAGTGGTGATTGCTCTCTGTGTTCTCATTTATCATTGGACTGGTGAGCTGAGCGGCCAGGCGGCCAGAGAGAGCTCATTACAGCTCATCATGTCTGCAGCACAGCAACACACACACATTAGCGACAATTACATGATCAATACATGCAGGAGGAATGTTACAAATCAATCAAGCGATCCACTGATGCGTGACAGAGTACACAGACCACTGACCGTCAACTGTAGTGTGTGTTCACAGGTGTGTCTGTGTGGGCTGCTGGTTAGACGTGTTTGTTTTAATGCACTATAAGTATATACTGACTGAGTCCATATGGTTTGTGTGTGTGTTTAACCTTCAGGGTACATTGCTCCATGGAGTGGGCGCTTCTACTCCCTCTGGGATACTGGGTAAGTCGTCACAATAGATGTGTTGTATGTTTGCAGTGGATTACAGACTTTACAGCAGTGCTGATAATAATTATGTACAGTAGCACATTTAAGTCTGTTAAACTGTAGGAGACAATGGGGCGATTAAGATTCATTCCACCTTGTCTACTTATTGATCTACTATGAAGTCCAACTTTTGATTTAGTCCAAACGTTGTTTAATAAACACATACTCAGGATGATGATTTTTTTTCATGTGCCAGAGTGAAAGTGTCACTGTTTCAACAAATTCAGTTTATTTTCCCCTTTAATTTTTCAATCACATTCTCATGTTTTAGCCAGATCAAACAGACACATCGAATGCACGCCAAGTATCCCAAGAGCACTAAACACTCACTGTTTGACCATAAAAAGCATTTTGGCAGTTCCACAGTCAGGCGTCACTCAACCCCATCATAAAATCTTAAACAGATAATGCTCCCTTTCTCCCTTCCCAGATCTGGGCTTACAGAGAACTGCCAGACTGCAGCATCAGCTGTAAAACCCTAAAACTCTGAGTGTATGTCCACATATGTTTGTGTGTTGGCGCACACGCCTACCGTGCACACGAGTATATTTTTAAAGGAAATTAAGTTTTGCTGCAGTGCAGTAAAAGTAATGAGGTCATTATAAATGACATCAGCCATACTTGATTTTCCTCCATGCTGAATAAAATATCACAGCTTTACTATCAATGAGAATGGTTCATTTAGAGTGAGTCAAGTGGAAATTAAAGGGAATACAATGAACTATTATGTCTTTTATAAGAAGGAACAGGGTCGTTTGGCATTAATGATACATTTACAGTTTGATAGTGTCATTATAAAGACCTCCTTCTTTGCCTAGCCATACTTAATTTGCAGTGTCTGACTTCTTTATGTCTTTAATGTTCTCCACAGATATGCTAAGATCCACATTCCCATTATAGCATCAGTATCTGAGCACCAGCCCACCACCTGGGTGTCCTTCTTCTTTGACCTCCACATCCTCGTCTGCACCTTCCCAGCAGGCCTCTGGTTCTGCATTAAGAACATCAATGATGAACGTGTCTTCGGTAAGAGCCGTTGCATGGAATAATAACAAATTTAGAACACGGTTATTGACAAAGTTGTAGAACTTGTCAGTTGTACTTTAGATAAAAATCTATCATCCAGTATTGAAAGATTAATAAACAAGGCAGCATTAGTTGGAGTGCTGTTGTGGTTTAGACAGAGACAATGAGCTTTAGAGTACCATTGCTGTCAATAAAGTTCCCACAATAACAAGAAACAAGCTTTCACCAGTTTTATGACTTCTGTCCCTCAAGTGAAACTTTGGCACTAAGTTTATGAGCAGCGTTGGGGAGTAACTAGTTACACATAAATAGATTACAAAAAAGAAATTGTAATCACTTACATTCACTGAAAAAGTAATTAAAATTGAATTACAGGTACTCATCAAAATGGTGGTGATTACAAAGAGCTTACATCTGAATATATTCTGTTTAATCAAAAGTTTATATAAAGAATATAACGTTCATTATGTTGCTTTCCATCTTTTCACTGTGCAGGAATGTTCTTTTTTTAGCAGAGTCTATTTCTGGATAGTTCTCCACTTTATTGCCCAGTTTGAAACATTTGTTAGCTAGTAATCTGGAACCTACTATGGTTTTAAAGTAACCTTCAAAACACTGTTGATGAATATCATCCTCTCTGTCTGTGACAAGTTTGGGTTTTTGTCCTATTAATGATCAAATTCTGTCAAATTTAATTACCAGTGTAACCAGTATAGAGCTGACATAACACTGGAAATCACTTTATTGCATGTATAGGTCCTGTTTGTGCATGTGTGTATGTGTATTTCGGGCCTGTGTGTGTGTATATGTATATGTATATGACAACAGGGTGAAAATATTGAATTTCCCCCTTTGGGATTGATAAAGTATATAAAAGTAAATAAAAAATAATAATAATAAAAAAATAAAATCATACTTTGATGGTATACTGTACATTATACATTTGTGCAGAGGGCAGGAGTGGCCATTAAGAGAAAAATCTAAATAAATCAAGGCCATGTTTATTAAATCATGCTCATGAGATATAAGTCATTACCTCAATTTAACTAAATAGTTTCCACATTTTGGATCATTTGAGCGCTCAAGTGTTTAAAAACGTGGGTAACATCTTGCTGCATTCAAATGGGGTCCTGTTTACTGCATTCACGAGTCCACGTGACCCTGTAAATACGTTCTGAGAGCTCAGAGTTCACAATTTTGTGTACACGCCTTTTGGTGTCACAAGTTCCATTTGAACGCAGCAGCTGGTGACGTCATGTCGTGAGGAGACTGTGTGTGGTTCACCTGAATTTGGGCTCTTTTTGGTAGTAATCACTATACTAGCCTACAGGCACTGGGAAGGGCTCTTTTCAACATGTACATATCAACACTTATGTTCTCTGGTGTACTTAAGCACTGTACTGACGGTCTCTGAAAGAAGCAGGTCTCTGTTCCATCTGCACTCTCTAACTGGCGTGATGTTGCACACTGTTGAGCTGCAGTTACACATCTGGAGTTTTTATTATGTTTAGTATTGTCAGAGCTATTTTTTCCTGTTGTATCAGTAACACTTGGAATTGTGATACAACCTGGCATGGCATATAGTACAGATTTAACTTAGCATTGGCTTTGAAGTCAAACAATTGGTATCCCAACCACATTTTAAGAATATCACCGACAGACCATTATTGTGAATCGTGTGCTAGATAATTGTTTTTTCTTTCAGTGAGTGTGTGAAAATTATGATCTTAAACAGTGTAGAAAGTCCAGCTCTCAGGCTCCTGCTGCTGCTCGTATCGTTTGTCATTTGCAGGCTCACTTGTGTTTGTGCTGTTGTTTCTTATCAAACTGTTGAGTTTGTTTTCTAAAATGTCCCGCTCAGTACATTCCAGTATCGACAGCATATTTCTTTTAAACTTCACTTAGTCGAACTGTTACAAAAATACTACATACTCATAGTGGCTGGAAATCAGAATGTGCAGATCGACTGGTACGGTATCACATAAAATCTCTCAAAAACGTCTCCCCTTTAAATAGAAACATAGCTGAGAGTGTTTAAACCTCACTGTGCAGTCTAATAACTCCTATGTTGGACGAGGGAGCAGTGGAGCAGCTACTGTATCTGAGCAGTGTCTCTCGCATATGCAGGCCATATTTGTTGATAATGTATTTGTCAGCAGCGTCTGTCATCTGTTGCATCCACAGCAGTGAGCTGCAGCAGTGGTGTGTGGGCACTTGTCTGTAAAACACTTCTGTGTTTGTTTGTTTGTCTCTTTCTGCTCTTTATCTCCACAGGTGTCACACATCCCCCTGTGTTCTTTTCACCGCTCTCAGTTCGCTTTCTGATCTTCCCACTGCCTCATTATCTTTTTACCATTGTCATGCATACTGTAGGCTTTGTTTGTAACTCTGTCTGTGTGTACTGTGATGACTTGATTTAAATGATCAGAAAGTGAAATATACATGCTGTATCAGGTGCAAGGAGCAGGTATAACACTACATTTAAACAGTAAGCTTCACTGGAGATTAAATTAGTTTCTATAACATTGTAAACATCAGGGCACATAAAATTATATGTGTATATGTAAATTGAGATTAGAAGGATAACACATAAAAATAAACGTGTATAACTTTTTTTTATTGTATTTTAAATCGGAACCAGGATAAACTACTGAGCATTAAATTTAGTTGTGTAGTGTCATCAAGCCTGTGTTACGAGTATTGCATGAATTTTTGATTGGATTTGTCACATTACTAATTAATGTCTTTATATTTATGGTTCATTTTCTGCCACGTTTAGTTCTGTCTATTCAAGGCAAGCTACAGAAAAGCTTCTCTCAACCATTATGTCAACTAAAAATGCCTTTTCAGACATATCTTTGGCGTTGCTGTACTGCAATTTCTTGTTACTTACAAGCAACACATATACACCAATATAATAAATCTATGATGGGTTTAAATTGCTCAGTAATATCAAGGTCAGGTTCTACTTGCCAATATGAAGTCCAGTCTTCTGCTGCCCTCCTTTGACTGAATGAACCCTCTCCCTGCTCCCTCTGCCTTCTTGTTTACTTTCTTTTTCTCCTTCACTGTATCTCTGTCAGATTCTATGTTCATCTCTTTTTTTGCTCTGTACCTGTAGCCTCCTGATCATTTCAACATGACTTATGATCTCAGTTCAGCTAAAAACACTCCACTTAGAGACAAACACATCAGGGTTAGTGTTTGATTATGTGCCGTACTTTTCTTTCTGCTTGGTACATTTTCTGTTTTGATCCAACCTGAGCAGAGGCATAGTGCTGAAAAAAGGGAAAAGGAAGGCATGAGTTTCAGGTCAGACAGCAGAGATGGGGGCAGTGCACCTGTGAAATGACTTGACAGCATTAAATTAAAGTAAGTTTAAAATTAAATCCTGGTCACCTGTAACCTCCTTATCTCTCTCTCTCTCTCTCTCTCTCTCTGCTTCTCTCCCACCAGTGGCCTTGTATGCCATCAGCGCCGTGTATTTTGCTGGCGTAATGGTCCGTTTGATGCTGACTCTGACTCCGGTGGTGTGCATGCTGTCGGCGGTGGCCTTCTCTAGCGTTTTTGAACACTACCTGGGAGATGACATGAAGAGGCAGAGCCCACCTGCAGAGGACAGCAGCGACGAGGATGACAGGAAGAATGCTGGAAACCTCTATGACAAGGTTAGCAAACATCAGAATGTGTGTGATGTGATCGTGTAGTTTGAGGTACGTTAAACTACCAAATTTGTCACTGTACAGTTACTGTTATCTTTGTAGATTGATGTTCATGTGTACAGTGTAAGACACAATGCTGAATCATTATTTATATCATTGTAGAAAAAACTGTCAAAATTGAGTACCTTCATTTTCTAGTGTCAGCTTTGTTTCTTATGAAATTAATGGCTCATTCGTTTTTCATACATAGTGCTGTTGCATGACTAAAATGCTCAAAGCATTAATATATTACATGTGTTTAATTTCCAAACAAGGATGATTCTTTTTCCCTTCAAAAGTGAGAATTTCCCTGCCACTCTCTTTTTAATAATGTGTCATACAATTCCATACACAATATACAACACCATTAAATCATATAGCCTGCACACCTAATACCAAATTATAACATCATTCAGTCTTTTCATATTAATCTGATGACAGTGTGTGCTGTTAAAGGAGTTGCCTGTAGTGACCATCCCACAGAAAATAATCACCATCTGCTGCAGTTCACCTCAGCTCAATGGAGCGTTTTAGCGTCTTTTAGTTTATTGTTTTGGTTTTACAGCCTGCAACTTTACTGTTGTGGTTCACTCTCACAGCTTTTATCAGCGTCATCTCTAGCGGTAGCGGGTAGCTGATTTTAGTGAACAAGCTCTGATAAACCAGGCCCCCAAAAATGCTGCTGAGCCTTGTTCACAAATCCCAGTGGCCACTTGATAAATTGCAGTGAAAAAGTCACCTGCAACCCAAAACACATTTTCCCTATAGGCCACCACTGTTGAAAAGATGTTTGTAAAACTCTTGACAGGACACCATGAAATCCAAACAAGATCAATTATGACTCTTCCTATTATGAATTTTTGATCCAATAAGTTTTTATATTTGAAAAACTTTCCTCAATTGGTGAAAAGCAATTTTAAAATCTGTGACATCATCGCAGTGTAAAGTCTGTGACTCAAGCAGGAACTTGTGGGTGGGGCCAGCGGGAGAAACAAAGCTACGCATATTCAGTGGCGTGTGCGCCAGGCAAGCAGTTCTCCTTAGACTGAATAGGCACCATCTTGGGATCCAGTATCCAGATCTAATGATAGATCCATGTGTTAAAGCCACTGCCTGTCCATCAGACAGTAATAGGACAAAGTTAGCGACTTGCAGTTAGCAGCTGAAGAGCCAGATATTGTTCTCAGGATTTTGTGAGACCATAACAGAAACACAGCTTCAAATGAAGGCTAATGTTGCTCCACGTCTGCTGGATGTGTAAATAGACAAATGTTTGCTAACGACTTAACAAATTAAACAACTTTATAACCTAATAATATGCTAGTGTTGCATTTACAACTTCTGCTGCCCCAAAGTGGCCAAATAAAACCAATAAGTACTGCTATAACTCAAATACATAATGTTTTTCAGACCTGGCTTTCATATACACCAATTCATCTCATGAATGTTTCACTTCCTGTGTCTATTCCAGATGTGTCTTCTATGATAAAAAAGTTCTTGTCACATTAATGAGAAATCACAAGTGTCAGATTTTGTTTCCTACACTCATCAAAAATTAATTTTGTAGCCACTGGTACAGAAATATTCAATACAAGAAGCAAACCACTTCACAAGTCACCAAGCATTATATTTGTAGACACACGGTCAGCAGAATACAATAACATCTTATATATGTAACCAGCGCCAGAACATGCAGGCATAATAAATGCATGACATCCCACTATGACCATTACAAAAACAACATTTTCAGTCATTTTCAATGTACCCATCTGAGTAGCACTTTTAATTGAAAACATTGTGTTGTGTGTTTGTAATTAAACGAGCTGTATCCTCATTTGTCTTTCTCTGCTTCCTCGGGGAAACCAAATCACACTGCTGTCCAATGTTTTTGTCATTTTGCCACTTTCCTTACAAGTCGATGCAGTGGGAGTAATGTTACCTACCAATCACACTATCACAGGTCTTCTTAAAAGCATTGTTTAGATGAGACACTATAAAACGGCTACAGCAGTCTGAGAATTCTCTCAGTGGGGACAATTAACAGTCTTCTAGCACAGTATATTTCCAGCTCATTTTTACAGAGCTCCTGTCTTGTTAGAGTTTCAGCAACACTTACAAATGGTGTCCTGTTGGTGTGTACTGTCCCCTGCAGGCCGGTAAGGTGCGCAAACATGTATCAGAGCAGGAGAAAGCTGAGGAGGGCCTGGGCCCCAACATCAAGTCCATAGTCACCATGCTGATGTTGATGCTGCTCATGATGTTTGCTGTCCACTGCACCTGGGTCACCAGCAACGCCTACTCCAGCCCCAGTGTCGTACTGGCATCATACAACCATGATGGGTGAGAATAATACAACACCATGTGCATTTCCAACAATTGCCCCCTACCTCTGGGGGTGTGTAGACGTGCAGATAGTGTTTGTTTTCTTTGGCCAGGTTTTGACATACTGTATCCTCCTCTGAGATTTCTGCCTCCCCTCTAACAGAGATGTGTTTGCAGCACTCACAGCAATGAAAAATGACATTATGAAGTCTGTCATCATTACTTAAACTGTGTTCCCATTAACCCACCGAGCGACGGTGTTGTCATCACTTTTCAGAGGAATTGCTTTCTACTGAGGAGATATGTCACTGATGTCAGTACTGTGGGCACCTCCTCCTACCAAACAGATGGTCCTGCATCTTTTTTTGTATTAATTTGCTATTTAAAGCAAACTCCAAAGTTCTGTTGTTGGTTCAGCCTACACTATATATACTAAATCTTTTCCAAACCTCCCTGCCAGAGCTAATCCACACTGGCACTCCTGGTCTCATGTAGAAATATATACTAAATATAATAAACCACTATGAAGCAGAAGCTGTAATGCAGGTTCTGTTTTCTTTAGGCAGAGCTATTCTGCTGTCAGATACGTTTAAAATGTAAGTGTAGCCCCACGATTGCCTAAATATACACTGTACAGTTGTATTAGGAGATAATGAGTGTATAATGTATAATCAGATCAGACTTCAGCAGACACTATTAAGGGACCAAGATAAAAAACAAATGTGATTGGGACATTATTATTAATGACTCAGCTGAGGAACTTACAATAAGGAATGCTCATAATAGTCACCTCAAATAGAGGCTGTTAATCAGGGGTCTGTTCATCTGCACTGTACCAGGGCGGAGGCAGAAATCTCAGAGCCAGATATCATAAGACCCTGGTATATAAAACAGAGACTATCTGCATGAATAGGGACCATTACAGCAGAAATACATGGGGCACAGATGTGATGTGTCATGTAGGCAGACTCTGTCTTTGCAGCGTGTGGTTGCAGCCAGCTTCACTGTGTGTGTATTGAGTTTTGCCAAGTGGTAATGCAGTTGCTTATTGGTTTGAAAGCACAGACTATATTTACTGGTATTGGAGTAATTAACTGGATCATTTTAACAACAGGATGCAGTGATTTGATTACATTTATTTTAATGTGAAATGTAAAAACACATACAAGGTTGCTCTGCTGCTTCACACTGCCTCTGGTACAACGAGGTGTGTCTATTTTTATCATTTTTAAACAGATTGTACAGTTCTATGTCGTTTTTACCTGTTGGAGGTCCGTGGAGCCTCGCACAGAGAAAAAATAAGCACACCAGCCATGTAAAAATAAAATTGAACAGCATGGTGCCCGCGTGGGCAGGTGCAGCTTCCGTGGTCAGTGTAGCAGCTTCAGTTGATTACATGATGGACGCGCTCTGTTGTGGGCATGCTGCAGCAGACGTGTTGCGCTGTGACTGTGTCCCATTTATTTTGCTGTTAGAGTTAAGAGCGAATGCTTGTTTGTAAGTTATGTAAACTGACCCTTAAAGGTGTAATGACACGGGTTTCATTTTAATACTTAATACTTACTTTAATAATACAGCCCATGTTCAAATACACATATTTATGACTCATCATCTACCGTCCATGTGTTGTCACCTTACCCATCTATTACTTTCTCCACCAGCTCCCGGAACATCCTGGATGACTTCAGGGAGGCCTACTACTGGCTGAGGCAGAACACAGACGAGCATGCCAGAGTGATGTCCTGGTGGGACTATGGCTACCAGATAGCAGGCATGGCTAACAGAACCACGCTAGTCGACAACAACACGTGGAACAACAGTCACATAGCACTGGTGAGAGCTGCTGTACCTTTAACACTATTGTTTACATTTAATCTCTTTAATTTTACACATGTGGATCAGTTTACTAGTCATAGGGAGCACTACATAGGCTGTAAAAACAGCTGCATTTTGTCTTCTGTGGCTCTTGATGAGTTTTCTATGTTTGAGAAAATAACCCCAATGATGTGTTACGCTCACAATAATAGAAACATTTGGCTCAACCTTGCTACCAGCAACATTTAAAGAGGGAGCCATACCTGAGGATTTGGTTCAAAGCAAAAACTAAACTAACAGACAAAGTCGCAAAAACTGGACTACCAGACCTCCATTCACAAAAGAAATGTATGTAAAATAAGAAGCAAAAGAAGCCACTCACTGGCTGCTTTGTCTGGGAGAGAGCGCTCCTTCTCCTCCACCTGTCTTCAACATGGGGCAGGACTGCCCACTAATCACCTGGGGCCTCAACGCCACAATTGGCCTGCGTCAAAAAATAATCAGATTTATAAAACCTTTGTGCACACACAGCCGCAGGCAGTGTTCCATTTAAAATCACAGTCCACCTGCAGATGTGTGCACATTGATCAGCCTCTTATGTCGCCCTCTAAACGCCCACATTCAACCATAAATGGTCAATGCTAAGCACCTCATGAATGTTGGTGCATAGAAATAAGCCTGCTGATCGGTGGCTGAACAGCTGCCTGCTGTGGCTGTAAACAACACTAAGAGAGCAGTGAGAATGAACCAAAACAGTTACGTTATGGGTGGGACGGATAAACAATGAGCTGTTTTTGTTACAGCTTTGTTTATATATTTGTTTGTGTCTTATTACTTTGGACTTTTTTGCCTCCATTTTCCGTGGTTACACAGTTGGCCAGCTCCTAGTCGAGTTTCTTTCAACTACTGTGTAGAGGTCAGAGTGTTGATTGATTTTTTTTTCCCCTTTTTTTGCCTTAGTGTGTTGCACCAGCAAGTGAATATAACATTGTGTCAGTACACTGCACCGCACAGCAGTGAAAGAGAGATGTCAAAAATATGACAGTAGACACTTGGCTTGCTTTAAACTGTAAGAGTCTTACTCTCAAAGAAGCAGCAGATTGCAAGATATCCTGACTTTTAGTCACTAATATGGGTGAAGCTCCAAGACCCTTTCCTGCCAAGTTAAGAAACCCAAATGGAGATAACACCATTGTGATGACATCATCAGGGTTATTTTCTCAAGTTTGACAAAGCTCCTCCAAAGTCACTGCTCAGCTGTTTACACAGGCTGATCTTGGTGTTTAAAATCAGTGGACTGTCCCATAATATTCATGTAGGTCCACTGAATGGACATGAAATGTAACACTGCTGTGTCTGTGTTCCTACAGGTGGGCAAAGCCATGTCATCCAATGAGACTGCAGCCTATGAAATCATGAGGTCACTGGATGTTGACTATGTCCTGATCATCTTCGGAGGAGTGATTGGCTACTCAGGCGATGACATCAACAAGTTCCTGTGGATGGTGCGCATCGCAGAGGGGGAGCACCCCAGAGACATCAGGGTGAGAGCGACGTCACACACACACACACACACACACACACACACACACACACACCGTATCTCAGTCACTTTAGTGGGTAACTTCTGTCAGTAGAAACATAAAAGAAGGTGAGTGTGCTGAAGTTGTTAAATATTTATTGCAGAGATAGTGGATGCCTGCTAAGTGGGATTCATATGAATGTTTGATGTGCTCTCTGAGGGAGGGAACTGCTGAGGGAAATCAAGGATCTGTAACCAAGGGTGCCAAGTTGTTTGGCTACAAAATCAAATGAGATCAAGGATCAAAGTGTGTGTGAGTTTACTTATTTCCCCTTCCATCTGTTCCCCCATCTTTCCTCTCAACCCAGGAAAGTGACTACTTTACCCCGCAGGGAGAGTTCAGAGTGGACAAAGCTGGGTCCCCGACCCTCCTCAACTGCCTTATGTACAAAATGTCTTACTACCGCTTTGGAGAAATGCAGGTATGTCAAAAACTGTTACCACACTGAGCCTGACAAAACAGTTTCACGTGGACAAATGTAGATATAAACAGCTTCTGTCTTCATTTCTGTGAAGCTGGACTTCCGGACGCCACCAGGTTTTGACCGAACACGCAACGCTGAGATTGGCAACAAGGACATAAAGCTGAAGCACCTGGAGGAAGCGTTCACGTCAGAGCACTGGTTGGTCAGGATTTATAAGGTCAAAAAGCTGGAGAACAGAGACCGCATAGAGCACAAGCTGCGGGGCACTGACACCACCAAGCAGAAGTACACCTCCAAAAAGGTAAGCTGGGGTCCTCTTCAACCAGCAGACTGTGTTTAGTCTAACACTGACAGGAAACACACAGCAACTGTGTTTGTTTCATGGTATCCAACAAGATCAAAGAGCTCCTAAGTCATGATGAGAGTGACTCAGAAGTTTATCAAAACAACAGTAAAGTGAAAGCCTGAAGCCAATCCCATGACACCGCTGACAGGTTGACATTGCTCTGCAAGCCAGCTCTGTGATGATCAAAGCCAAATACAGTGCGTCTGTTAGTCACAACCTGCCCTTTTACACATGACAACACAACTGCATTTCATTTGGACTGTACTGAAAAGTTAACTGGGTGTTATTTGCTCTATATGGTGGGGATGTAAACAAATACATTATTCAGATATGATAATGAGCTCTAACAGATGTGAGCAGGTTTCCAGTTTTTACAGCAATATTGCCCGGGCACCTCCCAAACTGGTGTTTCAAAGCTGTTATTTTTATTTCCTGATCTGATATTGAAGCCTGCCACCTTGTGTTAGTTAAGAAATTAACAACTTGAAATTAGGACCTGTCTACGACTGGGCAATATGGAGAAAAAATAAAAATAAAAATCACAATATTTTTGACTAAATACCTCAACATCAATATTGCCATGATGTTTTAGGGTAATGACTAAGAGGGTGAAGGCAGTATTAGAACAGCTAAAACATGTTCGGAACTTCAGAAAATGACATCGTTTAACTGTGATGCAGCCTTTAAAACCAGGAAAAGACAACCCATATGATATTACAATCTACAAACTCTAAGATTATACTAGTCTCGTATTGAGACATCATGATATAATATGGATATGTTCCATAAGTGCAAAATGGCCATGAGAGATTTTCACATTTGTATCAACAGCTCTTTCATTTTTAATAGACACCTCTCACCAACTTTATTTTCATTTGTCCCTCCACTCATTATGAACACAACCCCAAACACAGTAAAAAAAAAACATGCAATAAGGCCCACTGCAATTTGGACCTGTATTTTTCCTCTGATAAAACTCTCCATGCTATTTTCATCATTAATTTCTACCCATTAACAGTTAGAGCTTTTATTCAGAATCACTTTAGACTTTGTTTATTTCTTTTTTGAAGGTGGGTTTCAAATATAAATATTTTTAAGTTTTATTATTTAAAAACATTGTTAAGATATTTGTGTATATTTTGTTGGCAGCTGAACCTGTACATACTGTTGAAGGGAGTATAGATGTCATCACAGGGGTAGAATTTTAATTTCAAAGGTGGTGGGGACACAGTTAGCAACACAACCATGGTTTTTTCATCATTTTGATTTGTCCTCATAAAAATGGATGGTCATAACAAAATTATTTCATATAGCAAAATACAACAGAAGTAAGGACAAAGTTGGTCAATATATTGACTGACCCTATAGGTTAAAAAGAGCTGAATATAACCACTCTCGAGATGAAGGGTGGGGTTTCATATTTGATCTCATATATTTTACCTTTTTCTTAGATTAATGTCAAATTTGCACCAATAGAGCCCTGATATCTGCCTTATATCTCAAAGTGATATGAATTTTAAAATACGTTTTTATTGTAAAACTGGCGACTAGAGGCTTTAAAGACTTGTCATAGGCAGAAATTTCACACAGACAACTCTTAAGGAAAGTTACTTTTAATTAAAGTAATACAGCCTTCTGAAAAAATGCAGGGGAAATGTCCCCCTCTGTCCCCCTTATACATTATGCCCCTAAATTGTCAGTAAAAAAACCATAAACAGAAAAATGAATGTGACATATACAGGTACAGACTTGCAGTCTTAGTTGAGGTCTAATTTTAGATCTAATTATAAAGGTTTGGTCTTAATTATGTGGAGCATTTATTTGCTCTCTGAAACTGAAGTTGTTACTGTTGTGTCAAAGCTAGTCTTGATTTTTACTCAGTTGTGTCTTTGGTCATTTCCCCCTCTGCAGACAGCCAAGAGGAAGCGTGGATACATCAAGAACAAGCTTTCCCTCAAGAAGGGCAAGAAACTGACCAAGAAATCTTTATAGAAAGTCCAGCACCAACAAAACCACACTGTGGACGGGAGACAAGAAAAATCTTACACACAAAACTTTCAACAAAAAACAAGCAGCAACAGTAAATCCACCAATCAAGATGAGTACGGAACACCAGAGGTTCTCCAGACCCCGTCATCCCACGCGTCCTCACCCAGAGGTCCACGCTGGAAATGTTACCATCACCTATGAGAATGTGTCGAACCCCAGCTGACCTTTGACCTGATAAGTGGGGTCAAGGAGGCCGAGAACGGGAGATGTTGGCTTGTCAGAGATCCTCGCCACACTGGTTTTAACCTGAGGAACTGTGACCTTTGACCCGCTTTTCTTTTTGTACTTGAATGTGATGGGAGCCAGAGGGAGCAAGAGAGATTAGCTGTCCTTAATGCGGGGACTCAGTTTGGGACTGCTCGAAGCATTGCATCATTCGGATAGAAATATTAAATAGACCACTGTTCTGCCATGTCCCCAATTCAGCGCTGAAACCTTAGACCTGCTCAGAATGAGGCAACGATTGATTTTAGGATGACTGAACCTCTTGATGGAGTTTATTAAATTCTTCACAGATATTCAGTTGAATGGAAAAGGAGTGAAACCAGAATGTTTGAGTTTTATCCAGCACCTTTCTGAGAATGAGTCTGTGCTCCGATGCCTTTGGAAAGTCCGCTGGAACATACTCGCTAGTCTGTTTTTATGTGTTCCATTTCCTTTATGTTCTCCCCATACACCATTATTAACAGCAGCATGTACACACGTGCCAACAAGGAAAAGCCATCACTCTTCATACAACCTCATAGTGCTGCACTGACATATTTTAGAACAAGACAGCACAGGCTACTCACAGGATAATCCCCCTTTATTATTACTTGGTCTTTTTTGTGGTTTCTATCAGTAAAATAACATTTTACCTAACAACACAGCAACACCAGTGAAGAGAAGTCAGACTGGCCAGACAACATGAGCAGTTTGATTTTCAGTAAACCTTCAGGTTAAACGAACAGAATTTGAAGAGAAAACAAAGCAAACCGTCAAATTATTACCCACACATCAGTCCCAGTTTACTTACTGGTTCAACTTTAATCTACTATACTAAGTTTGCCTCTGCAGTCAGAGTGTTAAAAGGATATCCCAGCAATTCAGTACTGTGCTTCCATAAAGTCAGTGGACTCACAAAAGACTGATTAAAATAAGAATTGTCCAAATTTGAGCAGCTCAGGGTGAGATATTCTGACTTTTAGTTTAGTGTGGGCCAAGCTCCAGAAACACTGGATCCTACATTTCCCATGTTGCTGCATAAACTGGACTATTTTTTTCATCAGACCCTTCATGCCTCCTGAATGCTCGTCTTTAAAGGTCCAGTGTGTAGGACTTAGTGACATCTAGTGGTGAGGTTTTAGAACTGCAACTTCTTCTGTGTGCATAGCTTGATGGAGACCTTTGGTGGCGATGTGAAAACACAAAGGGCCCCATCTTAAGCCAGTCTTTGGTTTGTTTTGTTCTGGGCTACTTTGGAACAACATGGCAGAGTCCATGGGAGAGAAACTGCACTGTATATAGATATAAACAGCTCATTCTAAGGTAACGAAAACACAACTATTCTCATTTTCAAGTGATTATAAACAAATGAAAACAGCTATTAATACAATTTCTGTAATAGATGCCCCTACATCCTACCCACTGGACCTTTAAAACCCCTTACCTTAGTTCTGTCACACATCCGGTGGCATAAGTGTCGATTTTGTATGTGATCTTTAATGATTTGAGTGTATTTGTTCCCTCTGTGAAACATTTCCAATAATTTAATCCTCTGTATTCTTGTTTCTTGAAGATATTCTGAGAAACATATCTGTCCTACCTGAGCTGACTTTGATTCTGTTGTGAGGTTTTTGTCAGAGGAAGGTCAACTAAAACAAACCCAGGTGGAGAGGATAGCATTGGCCTTAACGGGGAAAAAAAATCCTATTTCCAGAGCTCAGTGAGAGTCAGTGAGTGTATTTATTACATGGACGATGGAGGCTGCGATGACGAAAGCGAGGGCAGTGTCCTATCACGAAATGCAATGATTTTGTTCGGTTTTTGATTTTTAAGTCAAGGTTTCTTCCATCAATTGTAATGATCTGGATGCAGGTGTGAGAATGAAACATGCCTTTTTGAATAAAGAGGTTGAAATAATACTTGTGTTTTCATTTCTGTTTGCTCATATGCACAGTGTGTGTCATTAACGTCTACTAAGTGCATTTTCCCTCTTACCTGTAGTGCTGTTTATCTATCTAGATTTTTTTGGTGTGAGTTGCAGAGTGTTGGAGATATCAGCTGTAGAGATGTCTGCCTTCTCTCAAATATAATGGAACTAGATGGCACTCAGCTTTTGGTGCTCAAAGCAGCCAAAAAATACATTTGGAAAACTCAACAGCAATGTCTCTTTCCAGAAATCATAACCCAGTTGCAAAAGATAATCCACAGACCTTGTTGTGAGCAGTTTCATGTAGGAACTATTTGGTTGTATATCACAAGTATACGTTGGATGTCAGATTTCTCAATCTAGATTTCTCAATCTAGATTGAGAAAAAGCACTACAGCCAAGAGGAAAAATATGCATTTTTCAAATTTTGGGTTGAGCTGTCCCCATAAAACCCCTTATCTTAAATATGAGATTTGATTGGCTGATAGAGCTTGCTGTTTAATCTGGTTGGTTTAAAAGAGTAAACGCTACAGCCAGCAGCCTGTTAGCTCAGCTTAACACAAAGATTGGAAATGGGGCAACAGCTGTCCTGGCTCTGTTCAAAGGTAACTAAAAATTATGACTGGCCAATCAGGAGTAAGAGTGGCAGAGATAATGGCAGCATGCACCTGAGAATACAACCAAGGACTTTATATACAGTACATGGTGTTTGTTGGGCCGTCTCTTCATATGGCTCTCAGGACATTGACAATGCTGTCATCTTCATCTCTACTGATCACTGTCAAATCATTTCCATACCTTGACTTTGACACACCCTGTGTCTGTGACACACACACACACACACACACAGAGAAAACTGAGCATACAATACAGGATGTTGTGCAGTTGATTTAATGTTTTATATTTCAAATGTTACAGCTATGACCATTCTCTAAAAATGCACACAAAAACAAATCCACATATTTAAAAAAAAAATCATATCATTGCATTGACAAGAATGCATGGTTTCTACATAAACTGTCACAGCTCCTTTGTCGAAGCTAGAATATATTCATACATTCAACACACTGTTGAATGTATTAAAAACTCTACAATGAGCACACCACTAAGAAACACACTTACATCTCTGATAACACCACAGACAGATACAAATAATGTTGAGGATTCAAGCACAAGCAACAATAGGATCTTAATATGCAGGTGTTTAACCTGCAAATGACAAGCGTCTTTAAATGTGTTCTGACTCCATGTTCTGTGTCAGGAGGTGGAAAGTCTGTAGCAATGTCAAGTCCCAAGAAGCCACCGGGACTAGGAGGTGAATGACTTGGAACTGTGGTCTTAACAGGTTCTTTTTGGGATGGAGAAGATTACTTTGTTGTTTCCTAAAGTGGAAGGCACCAAAAGCACGGCAAAAAATTGTCATCAAAATTTGTCTTAGTTTGGACTGAACCAGAAGGTAATTACTTTTTTCTGACAAACCTAAAAAATTGTATTTCTTTCTTTAAAATTCCTTTACAAAAAAGAAATTGTTGCAAATAATTGCACAAATAACTGTAATTACTAGTGATGTGAACTGCTGTGCCGAGGCTTCGAAGCGTGTGTCGAGTAATCCAGGAAGTGTTTCCGCGATGCGCGTATCGAGGCTTGTGTCGTTTCAGACAAGTGACGTCATTGGTGACGTCCGAAGCCTCACTGGCCGGCTGTACCATGTGAAAGGTTCAGGAAGTGGTTCAGATCTATATATACAAACCACTAAGTGTAATAGCTTTTTTTGTCCAGTAGATGGCTTAGTAGAGCAAATGAAGCATCAAGAAGCTTTGCCCTTGAGTGAACCAATTTGATGAAAAGCTTCAATGCTTCATGAAGCTTCATCTGCCCATCACTAGTAATTACCCAGGTGAGTGACAACTGGTCACTGTAAAATTAGACAAAAAAATTTAATAGTTTAATTTCCAAAAATCACTCTCCCAGTTTTTGAACCTGGTGTTGCTTGATTTCCATTTATGAGATTAAATTGCATAGTTTGTGTGGAGCTGAGTGCCCACCAAAGGTTTTGAGGAGCACCTTCAAACAGCAAAAGCACAGCTTCTGCTTTTCTCTGGTTGTTTTAGACTGCAGAAATCTCTGGAAAATGTGTACTCTGACTTCTTAAAGGGTAACACAAATATTTTTCAACCTTGAACCTATTTGCCAGGCTTTGCTGTCTAATGGAGACAACAGTTTTCAAAACAGGCTGCCATGGACATTTGTGCACTATCAATGTACGTCCACTAAAAGTGCTTGTTTTGCCACTGACAGGCTCAAATTATTACTGTCAGTGTCTGACAAACGTAAGGAAAGGACACCTACAGACATGCTCTTTCTAGTTAAACAAAAAGGATCTTATTCTTAAACAGAAAGGTCTATCTCTGTAGGGATCCTTCCATGATGTTGTCAGACACTTACTATAACAATCTGAGCCTGTCAGTGGCAAAGCACTTTTAGTGGACGTACCTTGACAGTATACACTTACCAATTACATTGAAGCTTGTTTTGCTTAATACAGGACCACTTTTAAAATGTACTGTTCTCACTAGTCACACAAAACATGGGGAAAATGGGGTCCTGGTTGAAAAATACCAGTTACCCTTAAACTTTGTCACTAAGTATTGCTGATGTTCTCTTGCCAGATGTTTGATGAAACAGGACAAACTACACATAGACTCACACTGATGGTTTTCCATTTTGTAGCCCATTAACTACAAACTGCCTAAATTTCTGTGGACCAAAGTCTTTTATACAGCTGTCCATTCATTTCAGTATTGAAATCAACTTCAAGTCAATTTTTATGGTACAGCTCAATATTTCAAAAAATGTCTCAGTGGGCTTCACAAAAATTTCAGAGACTTGAAACTTGTTCGAGGTAGGTAAACAAAGTGAACACTACTTCACCTTTTTCTGGCAAAGATGAGTTTGCATGGTATCATATTGAAGCTGTGAGCTGGGCCCTGTCTGAAAAACTCACTGTTGACGCATTCACAGGCAATCATCCAACACTGGAGTCTTACCTGACATTTGGGAGTCACTGACATTTAGAATATAGGCAACATCCCTGCGCGCTTTGTCTTTGGAATTTTATTTTCAGACTACAAACAGCTTGTTAATAAAATCCTGTCCCTAAGGCTAAATGTTTATTTTATTTTATTTTATTACTGCTTTCCCATTTTTACCACAACAGTATGCAGCTATCATCAGGATAGCAAACTAATGTTAATAAATACAAAATACATTTTTGTCTGATTCTCTTGATGTAGAAACAGAATGCATTTGTGACAAGGTTTGGTATGATCACAGTTTTTAACACAATTGCAATACTGGTCAGGAAGTTCAGCCCTAGCTGTTTCTGTTCAGCAGACTTTGAATTTCAGGATGGCTGAGTGTCTTTGAATGCACCAGGTGGAGTTGACAATTATCACTGTTCTCCTGTTCAGCCATAATAAACTTTGAAAAAAACAAAAAGGGTAATCCAGTGTACATTCTGATAGATTTATTATTCCAGCTAATTGAATATCTGCGAGTTGATTTCAACACTGCTGCACTAAAATGAATGGAACAGTTGTCAGTCATATCAAGAACAGACTATTTGTAGTCAGTGGGCTTAAGCGCGCAGAAATATTGGCACTGCCCTTTAAAAAAAACACTACAGAATGGACCGGCTGCACACTGTTGATGAACTCCAGACAGTTTCTATTGAGAATACAAAGTCTTTTACTTTCACCCTTGTTACTATTTGTCAATATTATGAAACACATAATCGTTAATATTCAAATGTCACTTTGATTCCTCCCTGTCACAGGGGTAATGACAGTCTTACGTTTCACCTTTAACATTTAGTCCTCCTCTTCGTCCTCCTCGTCCCCTCCAAATGACAGAAGGCTGTTATTTTTTACTGTCTTTCCGGACTTCACCTCCTTCTTCTCCTCCTCCTTCTTCTCCTCTCCCCCATCACTCTTCTTCTTCTTCTTGCTGGAGCTGGCAGTGATGCCCTGGAATTTGTCTGAGGAGGAGCGCTTGGCTGGTTTCTTGAAGAGGATTTTACCATCAGGAGGAGGTTCATCATCTGTGGACAAGATAAGACGTGTATAATTCATCGAAACACACTTTTTGCACGTGCTAATTTAGATTATTGCTGTTGCCTTGATGAAATAGAGTTCAGTAAAAATGATCTCATTAAGCCTATCAGCAGTAGAGCCACGATTAATGGAAAAGTCGATTTAAAAAATAACAATTTTTAATGAATTTTGATAGTCAAACAAAAGTTTTAAGTCATTTTTCAGGGCAGAAATCTCAAACACTGGCTGCTTTCAGCTTCTTAAATGTGAGAATTCACTACTTTGTCATTTATGATCTGTGAATGAAGAGGTCTTTACTGCTTGGGCTGTTGGTTGGACAAAATAAGTAATGTGCAGACATCACTTTGGATCTGAGGAACTGTGATTGCATTTTTCACTTTTTTGACATTTCACAGACTTAAGGGTTAATTATGAAAATAATCAGCATACTAATCGATAATGAAAATATCTGTTAGTTTCAGCCGTCATCAGCAATTACATGACTAAAACACAACTGGACCGCACCATTCAGCATGTCTACTGAAACAAAGATGCCCTCTTACATACAGAGATGGCTCATGCTCATTCACCTTTCTCTGCGCCTCCTCCTGAGCGCATATCGCCCTTGATCTTCTTCACGTCCTCTGCGGTCAGATCTCCGTCTTTTAGAACCACAACCTGAGGTAACTCATCCTCCCGATCACTCCCGCTGTCATCATCCAGTGTCGGCATCTCCTGACGCTGAGAGGGGAATATAAAACACAGACAATGAGTTTTTCTTTACCAGACTCATTCTGTAAGGGAAGTAACCTCGCTTCATTCACTGCACTGGATGAATGAGACTGAGTGGAGGGACAGCGGTGTTAACATGGTTTGACTGAATGGGTCGAGGTCCGGTGCAGAGGTCGACTCCGGTTTCAACGACGTGAATTATTTAATAAACACACAGTCACTAACACCAAATACAATACAACACGAAGCTGACGAAAGAGTTAACTAACGCTAAGATTTCACTTAAACGAGTGACCGTTATCCGGGGACTGTGCTACTAGCTTAACTAGCCAAACCAACATACCTTAGTATCAACAGTCGGCCCTTCTTTATAACCAACATCATTTTTAAACTTCTTCAGAAAGGAAGGCTCCGCTGGTTTCACCCACGACACGCTACTGGCCTTATTTTTGTTCATTGCGAATGACTAAAACAACACAAACACACAAATAACGTAGGGCCTTCACAGGTTTCTCGTTCAGCGCAGGATTTCACCAAAACACAACACACGTCATTAAGATGTGCCGCCGCGAGTCACATGACTCCAGGAGCCACTGTGATTGGTGGATGTGTGCTAAGCGAATTAAGGAAGTGAAATGTGATCGGAAGAAGTATTTTGCCTTCAAAATAAAACCACACAGTTAGTCAGAGGTGGGTGGTAATTACTTGCCAGCCATCGGAGACGCCATAAAAATACTCATATGGCAGTGATTTAGACCACCACTGAAGGTAAAATGGATTTTGATGAGGTAAAGTGTGTTGTTATGGGTCTCTGTTTGACCAAGGTAAAGTGTGGCGTCTTCAGGCACTTTTGTTTTGAAAATTTCTACCACGGTCCATATGCGTTTTGTCAAACTTGACGTTGCTGTCAGCAGGTACTACCGGTGTGGCGGTAATGTATGCCATACTCTGCAAATATGATTTCAGGGTCGGTTTACGCGTTGTTAGCGGGTTTTTTGGGTGCTGCAGCCTCTCTGTGTGCCAAGCTGTCACTCGGTGCTGACTACATGAGAGAGATGTGTGAGTCTGGGCTCAGCGGCTGGACTGATACACACGGTGGGACTACAGCCTGTGACTGGGTGAGATGATCTTAATATCACATCTCTGTCTGTGTCTTTTTTGTAAAACATTGTCCTTTCTTTTTGTCCCTGTCGAAGATTAGGAGTATTCCTTGATGTTTTATATTGATACCTGGGGTGGTTAAAGGTCTGGTGTGTAAGATATAGTGGCATCTAGTGGTGAGGTTGCAACATTGCAACAAACTGGAGGTTTTTTTTCATGTGCCAGGTATTAAGAGATCTATGGTGGCTGAGGGGAAAATTGAATGGCTCTGTCTAGAACCAGTGTTTATTTTGTGCATTCTGGGCTACTGTAGAAACAACATGGTGGACTGCGTAGAAGATGACACACTCCATATGTAGATATAAACGGCTCATTCTAAGGTTATGAAAACTGTACATGATTCAGGAGGATGTATTGGCAGACATGGAAAACAATATCATATGTTTTCATTAGTGCATGGTCACATGAGACTAACAATCGTTGTGTTTCTGTAACCTTAGAATGAGCCTTTTCTATTGCTGTGTGCCATTTACCTTGAGGTTGGAGCTGGGATTGACATCACAACCGTTTCAATTGCATTTCAGGAACAACAACTCAGAGACACAAGCTCTTAATAGCAATATCAGTTGATAACAAGGCATTATGCTGTATATTGTGCATACAAACACCATAGCAAAATGCCCACAGATACAAGTTGGACAGGACTTTGTGTATAACTGTTTTAGACACAAATTAAACAGAAGTTCTGTTAAACAGTATATTACTACAGTTTTCAGTGCCACTGATGCATGGAGTGGCCATTTTGGATTTTGAAGTCGGGATGGGTGAGGTTCCTCTGACTTTCTAAATTGGAAATGCAACTTCAAGGGGCATTCCAGTTGAAATTTCCAACTAGGAACACGGAAATTACGACTTCTGGCACAAATGGAACGCACCATATCTACATACATAGCATGTCCTTTTCCACATATTCCTCCATGTTATTTCTACAGTAGCCCAAAATGGACAAATAAAACACTGGCTTTAGATAGGGGCCTTTTGAGTTTTTCGAATTTCATGTTTTCACCTTAGTTGTCCTACACGCCTGGCACCATGGATGTATAAAGAGACCTGGGTACAGCATTTGCAGAGGTCCCCGTTCATTCCTATGAAAGTTGCTCTTTGGTGCATGAAGCCAAATTGGTTCTACTGCGGCATATGAAATTACCCAGATGATCGGCACTGCATCCACACTGTGCAGCCCATAAAGCAGGCACACTAGACACTTTCACCAGCCGAGCTGGCTAACTTCCAATTTAACGCTCCATTAACTGGAATGGAGATAAAATAGTTCAATCAAGAGGCTCCTCTAGACTTTCCAAATGTAATTATACCAAATAGATTAAATCCCGATAGTGAAACGAGTCATTTCGCAGAGGCTGTAATGCTCAAAAAAATGTATACACTGATTTACCAGCATCTCTTTCACTATGTTAGTCAATGGGAAGATGTCTTTTTGGGCCGCAGGGCATCACGTGATAGACCCAGAGGTTATAATTCCACTGTTTGGCCACCACAAAAATTGGCCTCAAAGCCCAGCGCACTTCCTTTGGGCCTGCTTGGCACATGGGAGAGGTTTCAGTTGGTTGCTGTCTGCAGCCTTACTCCTAGATGCCACTAAATCCTAAACAGCGGACAATAAACATATCATCATTAGTTTCATTGATAGTGGTAGTGATAAGGAACAAATGAATAGGCAGAAAAAGACGAAGAGATACTATCACAGCGGGCATTTCAATATGTTACTGTAGGTGGTAAGTATAATTAATATTATCAATGATCCGCTACAATAACAACTACTAGTTGCACCTGTGCTTTTCCCACTATTCCTGTCTGCTGCAAAAAGGGTCTGTTGAAAGACACCTTATGTACACAGTGTTAGGGTTACGCATCTAGATAGAATTACTGTATTGATTATGTCATAACAGAGGCTAAAGCAAAAAATATATATACATATGACACATATAGTCTGGTGAGCCTGAAACCCCTGGAGAACCAAATATCAACATAGAATGCTTATATTGTAGTAGATTTCTCCTTGCACTTGTCACCCACCTGTGGTTGCATAGCTGACTGCTGCTTTCTCATTTTACCTGTGTGTCTCTGCAGCTCCACATCCCCCTGCGGCTGTTGTGTGGAGGCCTGCTGTTCACCTGTAATACTATCATGTGGACATTCTTCTCCAAGGCCCTCAGACACTGCTCCTCTTCAGCCAGGGCCACAGTCACAACCACTGCATCCAACTTCATCTGCTCAGTAAGCTCATGGCATTCCTCTACAATGTTTAACAGTACTGAGCCTGTGAAAACAAATGCACTCAGCTAAAGTTGTTGTGAGAACATTCAGACTTCTGTTGCATCTATGTTTCACAGTGAGTCTCTTTTGTTTGTGTGTCCAGGCCATCCTGGGGAGGGTGATTTTTGGAGAGAGTCATGCAACTCTATGGTGGGTGGGAGTCTCTCTCACACTGTGTGGACTGCTGCTGCTTCATAGGTCCACACCTCAGACACTCCCACAGGAAGAGGACAAAAAGGACAAGTGATGTAGGTTTGACTCGTCACCAGTACGCAGCAACAGCTCTTCAGTCACAGGAAGGTGGAAATGTTCCTTCATGTCTAGAAGAAGAGAGGTAGCTCAGTGTCTTAATGTGAAGTGCAATTACAAAAGCAGACTGTGTTGCACAGAGCTGATGGTACGTTCTGAACCATCAGTTCTGTGCAGTTGTTTTTTCTGTATTTTTCTTCAGTGAGAGTATATCAGTAACTGTTAGAACTGACTGGGTCACTGAAATCAGCAGACATTTTGGAGTCCAAATTTTTACACACATTTTATCTTGAAGTGTTTTGTACTAATGTGCATACAGTCTCCTCAGAAGCTATTGGAACAATGAGGCCAGTTCCTTTATTTTTGCTGCATACTGAAAACAATGGGCTAGACATCAAAAGATGAAAGTAAGACAGGATCTGCTTTCAGCTTTTATTTCCAGGTATTTACAGAACTGTGACTTGGAAAATAGCACCTTTTGGAAAGGACACACCATTTTGAGTGAAAGTAAAGGAACAGATAGACTAAAATAGATTGAAGTGAATAATACATAATATTCGGGGGCAAATCATTTGCTTGCAGTAACTGCATCAAGCCTGAGACCCAGTGACATCACCACACTTTTGCTTTCTTCTTTTATAATACCTTTCCAGCTTTCAGTGCAGCCTCTTTAATGCCATGTCTGCGCTAATACGTTTTCATTTTAAAATGTAAATGATCTCCTTACACACAAGTGTTTTAGCACCATTTTAGAATGAATCTCTGTCCATATTAAGGGCACAGTCACACATGAGCAAATGGAGGCGAGTGACCATCGCCTGTCGAGGCGATAATCACGCTGAATGCGGACAGTGTCAGATGTGATAGTTGTATTTGTTAGCCAGCTTGCTAAAATCTCTCCAGGGTGTTCCAACTTCCATTACAAAAAGCACGTAACAGTTTAAGAAGGTGTATTGATTTCATAATATGCCTTGTCTTTTGCATTATTTCAGTGGGTTTGTGTCTCTGTCAACAAAGGTAAGAAATTTGAGTCATATTTGAGTAGAAAGCACACTCTACCCCTGTTGACAACACCGCTGTGGCTAGTTCAGAACTTTAAAGGGAGGTTACTTTTGTCATTCTGAATGCAGTCCGTCATTTTCGTAGTTTACTTTTAAAGTTTAATACTGGAAAACTGACTGGCTTTAAAAACTGGGTAAACCTTTAGAAGACAAAAAAATCTCCCCCCTTTCTGTGTTTCGCTCTGTGTGTTTGATGTAAAGCACATCACTTCAGTCGCCACAGAAATCAGACACCACTTCTCCACTAAACTGTGAAATACAGAGAGCTTTCCCTGGCAGCTATAGGCTGAATCAGCATTGTGTTAACTCCTTTGGCAAGGACTTGAATGTAACAGATGTCATTTATGTGTAAAATTCCTGCTCTCCAGCTTCCATAATAAAGCCAAGCTTTGGTTGTTAGACCTGTTTTGCCCAGATGAATGTCACACTGAAACTATTCCTGCTCTTCTGTCAGACTGCTGATCAAAACAGCAACAGTAAAGTTTTTACTTTTATTGTAAATGCCTTTGTACATCATGTAAAACTGTGCAGATGAGTTTGTAAAAAATAAACTACGACTCACTTGGTGCTGTTTCTTTATTATTCACAGAAGAAATCTTACAAACAGAACAGTTTGTGATGAACAGATACATGAAATATTTCCATGTATTTTAGAATTAAAAAATGAAACCCAAACAATGATAAAACAGTTTGTTAAAATAATGTAAACATGAGAAAACATGAGTGGTCCCATGGTAACCAGCACCCATTGAACAGTTAAAAGCCCTTATCCAGCAGTTTAATCATTTACACAATAATCTCTTCCTCACAATGACCAACTATTCCATATGTGCAACAGAGAGGTTTAAAAAGTAATGAAAATGGCGACTCCGGACCAAGACACCAGAACAAGACCAGTGAGTGGTTGAACAATACATCATACACACTGAAAGGTCTGCTTGTCAGGACAGGTAAGGCACAGTGGATCAAAATCCTCACAAAAGGCATCAGAGACAGCAAAGTGGTTGAAAGCAAACTGCTCACGCTTCAGTTAGTGCTACTATTAGTGGTGTTCTCCTGAGACAGCTCGATTAGATGCTTCAAAATCTTCTCTCCTAAAGTCAGAAACACTTTGGTTGCATGACAGCAGCTCGGAGTCCTTCAGCTCCTTCACTTCCCCAGTTAGTTTTTTACACAATGCTTTAAGGAAAATACTGCAGCTTTGGCAGCATGAGTTAGAAGTAAAGGATCATTTCCACGTGGAATTAGACTCCCTCTTATCGCAGGACATTTATGAAGGATCACCATGGTAGTTTGGTAAAAGCACTCACAGAATCTAAGTTTACTGTCCTGTACATCCTACAAATAGCTGCATCAACACTGGGAGAGAAAGTGGACGTGTTGCATGTGATATCTTCAAGTATAGAAAGTCTTTGAGATAAAAAGTTTATATTAAAATCTCAGGTGGTTTCTCGCTAAGTAGAAAGCCCTGATAAAGTCTTGTAGAGTGGCGCATGCCTTCCTGACTGCAGGCAGAGCTAGTTGAGTGGTATTTCTATGACGTCCTCTTCGATTATCTCCCCCTGTTGGACCGGGATGTGCTCTGGAGGGCTCTTCTTGCAGCTCAGCCCTGCGAAGGGGCTGCACCAGGATAGAGAGAACGGGCTGCCGAACGCCATCTGCATGGACTCCCAACACGACATCTTCCCCCACTTTCCCGTCTCTCCCTTCAGACGCTCGATCCCCTGGAGAAAACACAGCAGTAAGAGTCTGAGGTGAACAGAGCTGAGCTGAAATGGACTGAATGTCTTTGTCTACATGCACTATTAAACACTACTATGACAGAGAGCTGATGACTAAACTGTGACAACACACTATGATTTGGCTCTTTGGTCCTGTTTCTCAGACACTAATCAGACTGAAGATGACTCAAATAAACCTTTAAATTTAAAGGATAGGTTTTGATTTTTTTTTCCAAGACTATCTTAATGCAAAACTAATGTACTGTATGTATGTTGAAAGAGTTATCGGTCGCTGTAATCACGCCTGTCCATATTGGCCGTAAAGCAATCCTTCTTTATGTGTAACAGAGCACAGCTGAGGCTGATAAGTTAGGAGATGGGAATAAATATTTTTAATTTTAGGCCTTATCAGCACAACAAGCAGACTGGCATGCTAGTCAGTCATACAATGGCGAGCACAAATTAAACACCTGAGCTGGAAAACCTGCATGCAGGTTCCTAGTCAGTGCAATAGCAACAGAGAGAGACAAAGTTGCAGCATTGGCTTTGCTCCAATGTTGTACGTATCTAAATTGAATAGGTAGATGCATCCTAGTATCACTGTATTTTTGCGTGGCAATGTCATATTAATACATGAATGCCAGGTGTTGATTTTTCATTATATAAATTATTAATACTACAAATAAATGGTAATGGTAAATGGACCTGCATTTGTATAGCGCCTTTCTAGTCATCCGACCACTCAAAGCACTTTTACACTACGAGTCACATTCACCCATTCACACACACATTCATATACTGGTGGCTGAGAGTACCATACAAGGTGCCACAGATTTGGGGTTGAGTATCTTGCTCAAGGATACTTGGCATGCAGACAGGAGGAGCCGAGGATCAAACCACTGATCTTCCGATTGGCGGACGACCCGCTCTACCTCTGAGCCACTAAACTTTAGGTAGCCTACTAGAGTAATAAAATGAATGCTTTTTCAGTCCAATAAATACATTTTGCTGCAATAAAAATGACTGAAGTGAGATGAATGGAGTGAAAACTTATCTTATTAGATAAAACTGATGCTGAAGTTTTCCTTTAGGGACACAATTAATAAGGTAATAAATTGCAATATATATTATTGCAATACTCAGTATATTGTAACATGCTTGAAATCACAATAATATTGTATCATGACTTAAGTATCGTGATAATATCGCATCATGGGGCATCCCTGAGTTGTTGAATGGACAGACAGATGGACAAAATACCCCCTAAAGCGTCATACCAGCAGGGTGTTTAGTATAAATATACTCTACAGCTGAGCTACAACTAAAATAAGGCATCAGTAGAATGAGTCACACAAATCAAATGGGTGCCTTTGCCATGGCAACAGTCACATGTAAGTTTATTGCTGGTGTTTTGTCCAGGTCTCTTTCACCCATTCCTGACTGGGGTTAGTTTAGGTTGATCACAACAATGTAAATTCTTTATTGTTTTTTTTACAGTTAGGCTACGTGGGTTGAATTTAAACAAACTAGTTAGTTGTTATTTGTTAAAATCGAATTTTCCCAAACAATGAAAGACATCATACAAGATTCCTATTTGATTATGAAACCCAGATGGAATGCTTTTTGTGTGCAGTGCAATGACTGTATACTCTGTCCTCTATCTTTTACAGTGTAGTTGTGAAAGGATCGCTTCGCAGCCAGTATAGACAGGAGGAGTGGTAACTCTTTCAGTGTACATAAAACGTGTGTTGTAATACAATAGTGTATCCTTTGAATAGTTTTGTATAAATCCTGATTCATTTGTATTCTAAGAAACATGCCCAACACTAATAAAATACTGTGCAAAATGACTCACATGCATGTTGAAAATAAAATATAACAACCAATATAACAACCTGAGGAAGAAGCAAACAAGTCAAATGGTCATAATGGAGCATGCATCCTGTTACACACAGAGTTCACTCATTCATTCAGAATGTTTGGTTGAATCTGAAACAGCAACAAAAAGAAAATGACGCCCACTTTGGCCTTCAGATTGAAATCAGCATGCATGTGATGTGTTCAGCTCAAAGGGACAGCTAACGTGACCTCTGTTGTAAGCTTACCTCTCCTCAAGATTACAAAGAGTTGTCTGCTTCAGAAAGTTTTTGGCAGAATGAGTTATCAACCAAAGCAAATGCATGAGAGAACATTGCAGGGGGAAGAGGCAGATAACAGAAGGTAACAGGAGTTGGAGTAGAACGAAAGACGAGGACTGAATGAAAATTTCACAATGCAGGGTGTGAGAGGAGAGGACTGTATGCAGGGGAAGGAGACACTGTTTATTTAACATTTCTTAAAGCTGTAGTTGGAAACTTTTATAAAAAAAAAAAAAAGAAAAGAATATATGCTGAAACTGTCACTACATCAAGACAGTAGTACATGAGACAGTTTGTGAAAAAATTAATGCTCCTCCTCCTAATGCTCCTAATGGCATCTGCAAGAATCCACCAGGCCTGAACAAAAACAACCAATCACAGCCAGAAGGAGTCTCTAACGCGGCTGACAATCATGTCAATCACTGCTCGTGAACTGCGGTCAAATTGTCAAACTAGGCAGTGTGCTGATTAAATATTAATCAAGATTCTGTTGCTGCGTTGCCTATTTCTCACCTCAGATGTTTTCAGAAATATATTTCAGCATACTGTTTAGCTGTAAAATGAGAAAGTTTGCTGGTGGGTGGTGCTTCGTTTTGGCTCAACTGTTTCCAACATGGCAACCACGTCACATACTTTCTTGTTTTACAGCTAAACAGTGCACTAAAATATGTTTATGAAAGCATTTAAGAGTGGGAAATAGGCAATGCAGTAACAGAATATTGATTCATGTTTGATCAGCGTTTGACCGCAGGTCACAGTCACTGTCATGACCGACAGCTACGTTAGAGACTCTGTGGTTGTTTTTGCTGAGGTGCCGTGGATTTTTGGAAATGCCATTAGAAGCACCTTTTTTCACAGAGTGTCTCATGTACTATGGTATGGATATAGTGACAGTTTCAGCAAATGTGACAATAAGTTATTTTAAAAGTTACCACACACAGCTTAAACATGAAAAAAAATGTTGAACACATTTGGGTGTAGCAGGCCATCTAAAATCAAAGAGAAATAAATACATTTTAAAAAAGCAAGCAAACACAGTTTTGCATTGCAACTGAGAAGTATTTATTCTCTGCGCATGTGCTGAAATATCTTCAGAATATTTAGAAAGAATTAAAATTTCTGTAAAAAACAAATCATCTCCACCATCACTCTCACCAGTGAGACGTCATCATCATACCAGCAGTGTTTCACATACATCACTAAACTAACCTTCATCTGTACCATGCATTCAGATAACAAAGGATACATAAAATATCATGTAAACAAAGAATAGAAGAATAAAATACACTTCAGAACAGAGCAATTCACACAGGAGAAAATGAGAAATACAAAGTGCGAATTAGCATTTTTAGTATCACGTGTAAATGTGAGTGGTGAAAGTTAATACTTTGTTAAATGCTTTATCAAGCTGAAGTCCCGCTGCCGCATGAGAAGATGTATGCAGTTATACATTTTTATATGGTGGTTCCCTTTGACTCCACACATGATTAAATACAACTTTCATTTTTAAGGTCAAATCAAGGTCCCCTTCTGAGGAATTTCATATCAAAGCTTTCCCAAATAATCATGTCTTTCTGTGGTTTATTTAATTTGGCACACGCTCAAAATATCAACACACCACATGGGCTTATAGCACATGAACACACACACAGGGAGCATTAGTGTTACTATGGGGCGCCAAAATTTTCCTCACAAAAGAGAGAATGAGCATACCGTGAAACTTAAATTAATATCCCAGGTTTTTATTTGCTTCAGTCACTGTCAACAACCGGTGTATGTTTTAGACAGGAGTTATACGGGATGAGCTCCTAAATCCTCCTGCACAAAACTCTTGCTCAGCAAAGACGCGAAATAATATCACATTGTTTATTGACATCAGTATGAATACTACTTGTATAAAATTAGACTATCTAATCACAATTTAATTATGAATCATTCATTTGGTCTAGCTCTAAGAGACAGCGCATCTGACGTTAGGCCATTCTCATGCACTGAGAGAGAAAGAGACGCATCAAAATACAGGTAGCCTACCTTAGAGAGGATGAAAGCCAAAAAAGATTTATTGCAGAAAGAGAAACGCAGTGAGAAAGGAGTGAAAACTAAACAGAGAAAGGTGGGTACATTTTCATTTTGTAGCCAGCAAGGTAACGAAAACAAGTGTACCCAACAACACAGCGCAGGAAGAGGAGAAAATATTGTTTGTCAGTTAAAAGTACAGTCACAGGCAGTGAGCAATGGACTTTACACACCAATATTCATAACTTGGATTATTTTTTATGAAAAACTGTTTTGATGCTGTTGATCTGAGGACCCTTACAGACTAAAAGATTATAAATATTTAACTGAGGAATGGAGGCATATTTAGACTCTATAACTCTCTCTTTTACCATGCCAGTAAATCTGAATGAATTGTACTTTGGCGGTGGTGGTTTCAGTAAAATGAACTGAATGCCTGGATTGTGGAGAATCTAATCAAGCTAACGATGCGTAGCATGTCCATATGGACAAGAGTTTAAACATTTACATTTGTATGTGCAATCTAAGCAGCTCAGAATTAGCTCAAGTAGGTCACCCTTTACTCGGTGGACTTAAAGAGGTTTTATACATCCAAAGAAGTTATATAAAAATAAACTAATTGGCAGAATCAGAGGCAGCCAGTCCAGCATGTCAAAATGTGTAGCCAAACCCGCTTAGTAAAAGGAACTAGGTGTAACTGTGGCTTGGCTTTTAATTCAAGTTTTACGGTATGTTGCAGTGTGGTTGTTGACAGCCTGCTAACTCTACCGGCAACATTCTGACAACTGTGATTAGCTGCTGGAAAAACAAAACGAGGTTTGACATTTGTACTGACTGAAACCATTTCCT